TGCTCCATTGACGTCTAGAGGCAGTCAGCAGTACAGAGCACTGACTGTACCAGAGTTGACACAGCAGATGTTTGATGCTAAAAATATGATGGCTGCATGCGACCCTCGCCACGGTAGATATTTGACGGTTGCGGCGGTGTTCAGAGGCCGCATGTCCATGAAGGAGGTCGACGAGCAAATGATGAATATTCAGAACAAGAATTCCTCTTATTTCGTTGAATGGATTCCGAATAACGTGAAGACGGCCGTGTGTGACATACCGCCGCGAGGCTTGAAGATGTCTGCGACGTTTATCGGTAACTCCACAGCTATTCAAGAGCTATTTAAGCGTATATCTGAGCAGTTTACAGCGATGTTCAGACGCAAGGCATTTTTGCATTGGTACACTGGCGAAGGTATGGACGAAATGGAGTTTACTGAAGCCGAAAGTAATATGAATGACTTGGTGTCTGAATACCAACAGTACCAGGACGCCACCGCTGAAGAAGAGGGAGAGTTCGACGAGGAAGAAGAGGGCGGTGACGAAGGAGATTAGACAGGAATATTTTGATTATTTTTATTTTTAATGTGCTTTAATATATTTTATATTTTTAAAATGAAGTTTTATTTCTAGATACTAAAAACTTTGGGCTTATGTCAATTGAAATACTGCTTTTAGTTCATTCTTGCAACTACATTGAATTTTACGTAAATGTAACTGAGCTAAAACACATTTTGAGGATTAAGAGTTAATCTGCCCTCTAAAGCTGTATTTTACCTTTGTAGGACATCGTACGTAAATTTTATGCATACTCAACACAAGTATCAAAGAGGAAAGGTGTCCTTGTTAATTATTCAAGTGCCGTCCAAAGAGGAAAGGACAGTGACGCCGAAATAAAACCGCTTATGAGTTCACTGGAAAGAGACTGAAAATTTGTTATAGAATAGACTAGTATATTTCTCATTTGTGGGAGTATGAGTGATGCTTTCATAATACTATTATGAAAGCATTACTACTATATGCGTTGCACATTGTTCGAAGTTCGACTATTTCCTACGCAGAAACTTTGTCGATAGCCGCATGCCGTCACCTGTTAATTGACTACTGAACAAACGAGCACTGGATACGGTCAGTGTTAATGAAAGAAGGAGCCATCGGCAAATTTTCTTCGCACGGCTAACAATTCACAATCAAGTACTTTTTGTAGTTTTGATGAAACATTATAAAAATGTTTAAAATCTCATTTCAATTATATCGTCATTGTTCATCAAAGAAAATAGCAAAAATGTCGACATACTTTATAATGAAAACAGAAAAGTTCCATAAATTTAAATTGGTACAAATAGAGAAAGAATCGTTTCGTATTCATTACGCGAACGCAGGGCGTCTTCGTTTGTACAGGAATGCTTTCGGAGGGAGACGAGATTCTGCAAGATCACTAATGGATCGAAGTGGAAGATGATAGCAGGATTTTTTAGATAGATAGCAAGATTTTTGTGTGAATTATTAACTAAATAGCTAATGTTACTAATAACATAAATCGAATGATTAGATGGATGGATGTTTATTATAGTTTGTAACAAACGGCTGAACAGTTCTGGTTGAAGTTTGATGTAGAGCATAGTCTGGAAGAACACGTAGACTAGTTACTTTTATTTTTTAATTCCTCTCCGACGGATTCGCCGGCCATAGGCAGTACCTAATAAGATCAAATCTCGTTTAATATGCTATCATGATGTTAGTGCTATCTTAATGACAGAAATTAGTAACAAATATATCTACTATAACTTAATCTTGGTAAGTTTCCATAACTAGTATTTGGGGGTCTATCGCAAACATTTACATGTTATTCGTAATATCATCGAAATGTATGATATTTGTTGGTGTACATTTTGTCCGGAAGTCGTGATACACAATTCTTGTATGAATATCGCTGCCGTTACGTAAATGTGTTCACGAACATTCGAAATAGAACCTGTGTTAGTAACGTAAGTTAAAATGTAAATACTCGAATTAAGTTAGCTAGTGCTCTGATTAAGGCCGCATCAGCGTGTTGTGGATGTTTGTATTAGACAAGTAAACATCGTTTGTTACAGATATATAACCTGTTTCATTAATGAAAACATTAATTAAACATGTAGCACAACATTTTGTAATGAATTAAGTTGTAACCATACCATCCCTCTCAAATCTTACAACTTTAATGTACTTTATATTGCGTTGATGGTTCCGATTCGATTTTATAGATATTTTCATCAAATAATTTAATTAAGACAACGAGCACCTTACCTACGATTAGTGGAACGTCGTCATACTTGTATAAAACTTGTGTAGCTTACAAAAAAATGAAAAAATCCTTCCACATTATGAATAACTAGATGTTCCCGTGCAACTTCATGCGCATAAAATTATGAAAATTTTATTTATAGTTTACATTTGTCAAATTATCAATAGCAAATGTCAGAATGACATGACAAGACAAACCTTGGCAATCTTGCTTGCGTAATGTAGGCAGCAACTTATGGTCTCTTTCCCACATTAGGGTTTTTATCCAAAATATTTACCCCCCTTAGTTTAATAGCGTTAAAATAAATAGCCTAAAGCGTGACGTAAGTGTAGGGCTTTTTATTAAAGAAAACATCATTGAAGAATATGCTGTAGTGGCTGACATCTTACGCCACAAAGAAGTGTGTGTTTACGCTTTATTATAATATTATAACTAACTATAGTAATGACCTTATAAAGTATATGTATATTTTGATATGTATAATTTATGCTACTGTAATAATGCTCCTTGCATTTACATATAGTTGTATTCACTGGCTGTAATTAAGAAGTAGTAAAGGAAACGTAGCTATGTTGCGTTCACCCGCAACTCAAATTAGGCGCTGCTCGAAATTGAATTACCCGCTATGTAAAAGCGTAAAGCATAAAGCGGCCTTCTAATTTACTTCCCACAAAGCTCAAAATCCACGCCAATCCATTTTTGCAAACGTGATTTCCAATTAAATCGGCTTACCGCTGAAATTCTGTAAAGAATCTCTTCAGTGCTATAAGCTCAGTGTTAGAGGTTAATCGTAAGGGTCATTGGACCGTTACTTAATTTCGATTTCCGATGTTATGAAATTAATTGAAAAATTGAAGCGCCAATAGCCTAATTGTTTGGGGTACGGACTACTGAACTTGCGGTCGAGGTTTGGAATCCCGCCATTCGACTATTCTCGTGAACCACATCCTAGCAAAAGCCTACAGCTTAGTTGGAATGGTTAAAGGAAATATTGATAAATTAACAAAAATCTACTAATATTATATTAAAAAAATAAATTGTTAATAAAATGTTGAATTGATCGCTTAAACTCACTGAGAAAATGTTTAACAATGTACAAGAATAGTACTTTAACTATAGATCCGTACTTAAGTTAAACCGTGCTTCGATATATTATTTTTCTCTATGTATCGATGCGTTCTTATTTTAATAATTGCCAGTATTTTAGTCCGTTATTGTTTTAGTCACTGATCTGTATAAATGGAAGTGTTTGCTTAAAAATGACAGTTATTACTTTGTTCCAATTTAAATGCGACTGTTGATGTTAATGACAGTTAATTCTCTATTATTCGTTCCAATTCTCGCCACCAACAGCGATCGACAGCGCAAAGATGGTACAAATCAAATACTGTCTTATAGCCTGTCTATTTATGCAGGTTAGTTGTTTTAGAATTACCCTAGGCTGTCCTATTTATTTATTTATAGTTTGCACATGAACTAAACTCTGTTTTTAACCACAACGTACATACGATCAGTAACAATATCTGAACGAATCAAATAATAAACAATTTGCGTGTATACAAGAGATAAGTGGTTATTGATAATATTCAAATTAATATGGTAACATTTTACCAACAACCATTTGTTCAGTATGTCAGTTATTAATTATGCATTAGTTTATGTTTTGTATTAACGTAACTCCAAATTAAACTTCAAACAAATATAGATAACAACTAATAAAATTTCTACGGTTAAAAAATGTTAGTATTACACGTACTAAAAACAAGCCATCTCACTCATTCCCTTTGGAAAGACTGAAATAATATCTGATTTACAGTAACCTATAAACCGATGTTTCAGTTCAATACAATGTCAATGTCCCAGTTTCGAAATCGTCATAAGAACGACCATTAATTATTATCAAACAAAAATAGTATTTCACTTTTACACTCACCTATTTTATATCGTAAAGATCGGCATCAAAGGTCTCATTACGAATATCCGTGAGAATATTTTCGTAACGTCATCGACAAAATTTGATTTGTGCAGCGCCCCTACCGGACGTAATAAACACTAATTTTTATACAATTTTACTTCTCGAAACTATCACGCTTTCATGATAGACTCTCAAACATCATAGAGATTCGTACATTTGCTAGCTATATGTTAAATCTCCGGATAGATCTTGATGAAATGTTGTACTATAAGGCATTAAAGAAGGTGCAAAAACTAACTGGATTCAGATATAACATGTGGGGCTATAAAGTATCGATATTAAACGGTTACATCACGAGGCGTCTCGAGTAATCTACACGAAAACTATTTAATGGACATTGCTGATTACAATCACGTTTCAAAGGAAACGTAACGCAATCACGTTACGCCTGGGTCGGGAATAGGCCATCGAGTAGGGGCGGCCGAATCGGAATAATAATCGAGGGTTCGATTATTCGAATAATTGGATCGAGAATAAGGCGCTATCGAATCGAGAACGCTTGTAAATCTCTGGATTACAATTCAATGCATTCTATTATTTTTTTGTTGAAATTCTTTTTTCTAAGTTATATTGTATCATAAAGAGAAAAAGAAGAAAAGATTTTTCAATGTCTTAGATTATCGATTGGTCTGAATATAATTAGATAACAAAGGTTGCATTTATTTGCCTTAACATTTTTAATTGTATTTTTTGCTCACCTCGATCGTGGTAACTGTCTATTTTTCATGAAATTCAAGGTTATATTGTATTTGTTGCAGGGCCGGGTATAAAAGGCACTATGGCGATCCTCAACTGCCTGCTGGCCCGCCAGCTATGCTTCGAGGACGCCTCCTGCTCCGCTATCCTTGAAATCATACCCCGCGTCTGTGGATCTGAACTTGGTAAGTTGATTTAATTACAAACAATAATCTTAAGGCTTTTAAAAGCTCCTTAGTTCACGGTAATAAGGACGGACCCAATTTGTTACTATGTTTTTGCTTGGTAATGGGAATATTTAGACCATTTTTTTGTACAAATTCTATGGATAAAGGTGCTAACAAACGTATGAAGTTTAAGAAGTATTTTAAACCTAGACTTCCTAATCTAGCTAGCTGTTGATTGCGTGTAAGTGAAATTAAAAATTAAAAATGTAATAAAAAATATGGCCTATGTTACACACTGTTAAAGTAACATATTATTGGTGAAAGAAATTTTGATAACGGCTCAATAGTTGGTTTATTCAATACATACAAATCGTTCCTCTTCACAATATTGTATAGATTATAATTCTTAGATGGCTTATTTTCTGAGAAAACATTAACAACGTGAAAAATCACCTGGCTATATATTTACGCTCTAATAACCATAGTTCCCCGTGCGGATTAGGAAACAAGATATAATATGTGTATTCAATACATTTTATTTCCTTGACGACAAGGCTCTTGGTAAAGTTTATACTAAGTACTTAAATTTATATGTGAAGTAGATGCATTATTATGGAAAGTAGTTCACTAGATATAATAATCAAGATGTCGTCAGAATAGAATTATACAAGACTAGCTTTCGCCCACGTCTCCGTCTGCGCTGAATTAAAAAACACAAATACAAGTAGCAGATGTATTCTTCCAGGCTGTCCTCTACATCTATGCCAAATTTCATCGAAATCCGTTCAGCCGTTTAGGCTACAAACTCTAACAAACATCCATCCATCTAAACTTTCGAATTTATAATATTATTGTTTGTCAAACCGATAACAGACTAGTTAAAAATAATTGCAAACTTCACAAACAAGTAATGACGTATTTCATAGAAGTTTCTATAAAGGAAGTACTTCAAAAACTTATTAAGGGGTTCCGTCTCGATGGAGACGGTCTGCTCCACTTAAGGAGTTCCGTTTGTTTGCTGGCGAATTTTAATTAAAAAAAAGGTACAACTCTATTGTGGATAACTCGAAAAGTCTGCCCCTTATTTCTAACAATCGTGTTTGTTAAGGTACGTCAGGGGAAAGCGATTTTCTTTTGTTGAAGGTAAACTATTATGCATGAGAAAATACACGAGGCTCAAACCACAGCGTCCTTCAATACCTTTGCTTTTACATCATATTTGAATTTTCTTTTCAGTTTCTAAAGGAACGTAAGGACCATAGACATAGTTTTTTTTTACTTATTAACACAATAGTAAAATAGTTGTTGCAACTATTAATTTTTATTAGTACTTAAATAAATAACTTTTTCAAAGATAATATTTTGTCTAGGTGATAAGTTTAATACATTAGTTTACCACTAACTTCTGTAGACGCAAAGCAAATTATTTCTTACTTAACTACATATAAAATACTTATTACAAAATTGTAGTTGTAGATTTAATTTGATCTAAAGGCACAAGACATAAAAGGAACCTTCTCGAATCTATCAATTGAAGCTATGTGACGTCTGCATAAAGGAGTTGTCTCTTGTCTGAGAGATGGAGAATTTATGTTGGAGACCAATATGTTCTATTTAATCTAAAGTCTAAAGTCAAGACTTACCAATCGAGTTATATGTAATATTGTGTTTCAATTCAAGTAAAGCTATGCGTCATAAAAAAAGTTTTTAAGTTTTATATGACGTATGATTGAGTTATAAAACCTGGTGCGCCGACCTTACGGGAGTAGGATAAGGCGGAAGATGACGATGAACCATGATTTTACATTATGATTAACTTCGAGGAAAATTATCTTCTACCAAAAACGTTATGAAGAATGTTGAATTACTATTCAATCTAATTAGTTATTTATTTTTTGTTGCCACGAAAAAGATTTAATCCAACCGTCATTTTTATAAAAGCGAATTTCATGTAGTCATAATAAAACTTTTAACCTAGTTACGAGGTGGGCGATATATCATAATATTAATAACCGAACTTGAGCGGGAACAAAAGGCGGGCAACAATGGGCGGGCGACAGCATCGACCTCACAATGCCCTCAAGGAGGTCACAGCAATGGGGATCCGAATCAGCTATCGATTTAACGTTTTCTGATGCCAGCAAATTGACCGATTTATGTTAAGTAAAATCTACTTTTAAAATAATTACAAGAAGTTATGTATCTACATTTATTCTGTACAATAAGAAAGGACAAATTTATTCCATGTAAAAACCATCATATAAAGTATCCCCTAACCAGACGGGATCTCTTAAATTTGAATCTTTCACATGTACCCCAGACTCCTTGAGTAAAGAGCACCCTTTGGCAATGTACTTCTATTATAAAGCGTGTCAATTTAGTCTGGGGACGTATTCATAACGTTCTTTGTGTACCAGAGTGCCTTAGAATCAGACATTAAACCAAATCTAAAGCGGTGATAGTAAATTAATAACCACTCGAATGCAACCCTAGTAATAGGTAGACTACTGAATTTGACAAGAGTCCTTCTCAAGTGTCTCTGTACAGTGACACCCTAGAGACAAACAACTTTGAGCATCAAAAGCCACTCCATCTCTGGCGATATTTTGAAACATTATAGCACTTAACAGTATGTACTTCAATTACAAATGAGGAAATTTCTGTACGGAACATATTACTGTTGTTGTCATTATCTGATGAGAACATTTTGATGAGAATTGAGAATCTATCTTCATTATTCAGCTGAGCCAGTATTCATTTTGTAGATTTTGTTTTATTTTTTGTGTTTTGTTCTTAAATTTTCTTGGCTAATAAATAGTGTTTTATTTTATTATTTATTTATTTATTATTGAAAAGACAATATGTCTATTCCCTTCGTACACAAGAGCTAGTCTTCGAAACTAATATTGTATCTTAGCGCGACGCGTTGCGTTGCGATTATCGCATAGCGCGCTTTCCGTGCACAGTGATGAATTGTTGACGCAAGTTGTCTAATCAGTCAGTACAAGTATTGCGACTGCGTGGCTGACGTGTATTTACAATATCTCAACTGTACAGGTTTGTTCTTTCATCTTCAAAATCTCAACGAGTTCTCTGGATGATCTTTACAAATAGATTGTGACTGCCTTCGGCGATGACAGATAGTTTGACGGTGGCGTGCTTGTGAATGAACCGCCATGACATTGTATTGCATAAGTTTCTAAAATTTGCATTGATTCGTGTACGAAGGGCCTTAGTATCTTAGTAGAGATATTTCAATGGAATCCCAAAGTAAAGTTCATAACAAACAACAACTGACGAACACACGAACTGGCATGAAAATGTAAACAGCCAGTTGCACCGCCAACATTCCAACGCAAAAGCCCAAATACAAACAGCTTTCACAAACAAATGGAAGTTTGCAACTTCATTAATGTTATTAAATAAGTTTTTGAAACGCAACAGAGCGTGGAAGCGGAAAGTAATTACATAATACTCGCTTTACGGTGTTACTCCATTAAACTTATCTTTGATCATTGTATATTTAATGTAGCTCTTCCCTTACAGGAAAGATAAATTTTATAATTACCTACTTTATAACTGAAAAGGAAAAGGACCCATTACTCTTATTATGTCCGGAAATAGATCCCTTTTAAACATTTCACAGTTGACGTTAAGTTCATATTTACAAAGTAACATTTGCCTGCGACTTCATCTGCGATTATTTAAAAAAAGAGTATAATTTCAATCTCAGACTCTGGTATCCTTTATGCATAGTAAATAATTTGAGTTTTCGGATTCAAAGCTTTTTTTTGATAATTGTAAACTCAGAGGAGTTTTGGTTAATTCTGTGAGTTCTTCCAGATTATGTTCTACATTTGTACTAAAAAGCGAAATTCCTTGAGCTGTTCTGGAGATACCTTTTAACAAACATCCAAACTTTTTTACATATAAATTGGACATAGTTTAAACATGTGGTCTAAAGTAATAAAAGCTGACAAACAAAAGTACATGCGCGTGATGACCTTTATCCTACATCCAGGTCGGTTAAAAAGGTAATAATAAAGAGGCGTTATCTCCTACTTGATCCGCAATCTCGTACTCAAATAAAATTTGAAAGCCTCGAGGATAATTTCAAGTGTTCCAAGCAACGCTCCCAATTCAAGTACGCTTCAATTTGGAATTAAAAAATAAGTGAATTTATGCGAGATGATTTGCTATCGACTGTTGAAGATTGGAAGTTTCCGTATAAAAGTAGAAAATATTGCAGTTTAGTTAGTGTAGTTTTATCAGATTTTCACATATTAAATGTATAGTCAGCTGACTGTATTGCATAATTACGTTTACAATGATTTCAGTTTCAAAAATAAACAACATGAATACATGTTGAAGAATACAAATAATTAATTTTAAAACTTAAAGTCCTTACAAGTTGCTAATGTTTTATAAATGTTTATGAAGCTGTCCGTACAAAAAGCAAGTTTTTATTTTTTCATTCTAAGATATTAGCATTTTAGTATCTTATTTATAGCATAAAATACTTTTAATATTCAAGCCCTAAAGTATTGTTAAATGTGAATTTTATCAAAAAGAAATATTAACCTCAATATTGACAGAAATCGTATTTGTCGATCGCGCAATGTCGCAATTTTATTTCTAAATAACATCTGAGAGGACTCCGGAAAAGTTCAAGTGCCCTCACAGCATACTCCAACGGAGACTTCAGTTCCGATTTACCCATTAATGTTATTGTAGAATTTCTCTGTGTCGCTTAAAAATCCTTCGACCAATTAATTTCCGTATTCAATAGCAACCCACCCCGGCTGTACATGAATAGTAGATTTGCTACTAATTTTAAAAAGGAGTTTAAGCCAATCAATATTAGAACCTTTAAAGTTTGCTTTACAATATTTTCTAAGGTTAAATTTATTTAATAATTTAAATTAATTATAACAGTTATAAGAAATGTTAAACATTTCTAGATATTCTATTTTAATATTCGTTCTAACATTAACCTCTTTTGGCAACTGTCAGATTAAGGCGTCACGTTTCCTTCACAACTAATTCAAAAACCTTGTTTTGGCTTTTACGCCTAACAGGATCCTTTTTTCTTACAAAACAATGCCATCTGACTTCTAACATCCATCTTAATTATGGTCTGAGCGTCCCAGCGACTCATCACTGTCGAGACGTTAGAAATGAGAAAGAAAGTACCTTATGTTATTAATTTGAAAATAATTACCATTGTTGTATATGTATAAAGAAATGTTATATTTTTTTATAAAATGTAACTGTGAAAAATAAATAGTTGACTCGTGTTATATAAAGAAAAATCTATACTAAAATCAGAAAGAGGAAAGATTTATATTTTTGGGTTTTTGTATGTATTGAAATAAGTTAAGAACTAATGGGCCGATTTTACAAATTCTTTCACCAAAAAATAGCTACGTTATCACCGTTATTCCTGCGCGAATAAAGACGCAAGCAACAGCTAGTAAAGAGTAATAGTGAAATAATATAGTTCATGCCATATTTGAAATATATTTCATTCTCTTTTGATATTACAGACCTTCGTATCTTTAAAACTTCTCGTGACCTAATGCTTCTTCGAAATTCTGCTCTAGTTTATCTTGTATTTAAAGTATTGAAATAATTTAACTGATTGTACAGTGATAGTGTTAATTGTAACTTCATATACAATCATGTATTTATTCTCTAAAGCAGATGAATTTGTTTTTCAGTAAAACCACAACAGAGCAAGTTTAATTTAGTTTCACCGCATCGACTAATTTGTATCGCACCCAACAAACGCCAATTCTCACAGACTGTCACAAACATTTTATTGTCCTTTATGTTAAAGCTGGTAAAATTGTTACAAACACACGGTATTTTTATTATTTTTTTAAAAAATTTCCACGTCATTTTTCTTTGTGTTCAAATAATAGATTCGAATAATTTTGGTACTCTTTTGATTCATTTGCATAGTAATTTATACTTCTATATCTAGATCAATACTGATATTGTAAAGAGGAAAGATTTGTATTTTTGTATGAATTAAAATAACTCAAAAACAACTGAGCCGATTTAGAAAATTCTTTCACCATTAGAAATTATCTGTGAGTAACATAAGCTTTGTATTATATTGATTTTTAATTTCACGGGGACGAAGTCGCTAGCAACAGCTGGTATAAATTAACGTATTAATAAAATTAACGTAAATTTTAAATCTGGTAAACAATCTTAACTTATTTTTTACATCAATTGACTGAAGCACCAATTATCTAGTTAAGAATAATGACTATCATTCTTTATGGATTCGAATCCCGTTTTACAACTTTTCATTTTGTTTTCATGACTGACGTCAGATTCACCCCTCAAACCTAATCAGAGAGTAACGTAGACGTGATGTATGTTAAAAGTGAAATTGTGCAATACACGGTGACTAATGACTTTCTTTATTTCATCGCACAAAGGAACGTGCGGTAAATTAGGGAGAGAATTTTTAAGCATTAGTAATCCATAAGGAGGCGGGCAAACCCTTGTCACAAACTGACATAATAGGAAAGCGGGCGTACTTACGCGGTTATAGTCAAGGTTTTTTCGCGTCATATGACTTTTGAATCATTTACCTTATTCTCTTTACTTCTTTTATATTTATACATTACAATATACCTCCAAATGTAATACAAGACTTAATATTAACAAATCACAACAAAAAGCCGATAAAAGACAGGCTTGTATCATTTAGCCCCTTAATACATAAGACAACGCAAATCTGTGATTTTAGTCTCTACGTTGCTTATGCAAAACAACGTCATATGTCGGCGTCGCATACCTGTGTAAAACCTCTATTAGAATATGTCGCATAAGATGTTCAGAAACAAATATCGCAGATTTGCAGTACCTTAAACTACAATAACGACCTTATTTATTTATTTATTTATTTGTAAGTCTTTATTGTCATAACAAATACATTTATAATGTTACTATAATTTAAATATAAAGTACAAAAACAGTCATGACCCCTGCTGGGTATAGGCTTCCTCCATTTTTCTCCATTTGTCCCTATCTTTTGCCAATTCGACCTTACGTATTGTTAAAATTACATCAGAATCAATGACCTTATTCAATAAATACCTAAGTATGACTCTAATCACTAAGTTATCAGAGATGATAACTTAAAGATCTTTTTTTACTTAAAATAATTCATAATGATGTTGCATCAGTTGCAACGTATAAACAAAAAATGCTACGAACCGCTCGTACTACGGCGTAGTAGGAGAGTTGCGTAGATGCGTAGCAATTACTACGCACGTAGACCCTTGGAGTACAGAGTACAGGCGTATACCTTAAGCATCGCACCCAAGGAGTGTCATAACTGTCATCTTGCAAGCCTTATTATAACACGTCATGTACAGTGAGCATCACAAACATATAACTTGAGGTACAGTCAGCACTAAAACTTGAAAACTGTAAGTTTGTTTCCGGATTTTCATACTCACATACACAGATTATTCCAATTATGCTGTAAAATGTTTTCCGTTATAATTACCTTTTAAAATTAATATAAGCTTAATTTGACAAATTAAAATTTATAATGAAATTTCCTACAATGCTACGTTACCTCACCGCAACCAATATTAAATAACTTGTACAATGGAAATCTCTTGTATCATATTTTAAGCTCTTTATACATTTAAACAAGGAATTAATTTGTAATGTTATTCAAAATAATCGTGGCATATTGAATAATGTCTATGTCGGTAGATGCAAATAAACAGTTGTAGTTACACAATCGCACAACGAAGTTTCGTTTCTCTTATTCCCAAATACTACAGGGTGTTAAGTGTGGTTTTAAGCGTGTTTCTATAGTTTTAAAGTTTTAAAAGTGATAAGTGTGTGTGAAAGAACAAGGGAATAAAATATTTGTAAGATAACAATGCTGGGAGGAATAAAAACTAGTAACTACTCATCGACGACGGCTACGCGTCGGCTGCTTCCGGCGGTATACAACAACCACTCCGATGCAAGAAATAGAAAACATTTTAACAATTGACGTGATTATAAAAGTACTTTTGATTGGTTTTTGATACCATCGGGGCGAGAAAAGGTTGCATTATTTACATGGACTTTTTAAAAAAAATTCGCCCAAATAAACATCAGTATTTATTAAAAATTACAAGACTTTTCATGTATGTTCGTGCACAATATCGTTTATATTCTACCGCAAATATCAAATTGCCTAACTACAGCTTAATTGCACAGCATAAATCGTACCTAGAAATCAAAGTAGTTCGTAATTACTCGAGTTAGGGGATGAGAAAAAATGATATCGGCTTTACCCGTAGTTACATTCTTAATCAACCCTTCGCAAAAAGTTATATTGCTTCTCTCGATATTAGCTTTTACGACCTGCGGTATAAGATTCGTTTTCCTAATTTCATGTTTAATTTTCCTTGATCCGTTACGATCAGTTTTTCTAGTTAAGGGAGAATTCAACTCATTCATAGCGTCACTCTTAACATACCTAATCTTAAAGACATTTATTAAGGATGTACTTGTACAATATATTTTTAAATTAATAAATCTTTAAGGTGCAATATTGTTATATTTATTATATATTCATTTATTTATTGGGCCTTGTGACAAATGTTCCCCAATAGCCAATTAAAATTAACCAAAGCCAATTTAAAAAATCTCTTTGAGTGAGCTTAAGAAAGACAAGCGCTAATAACCAAATGTTAGAGTACGTTCTAGAAATATTAATAAACTACCTTTTACTTGTTATTTTGTCCACGTGAAATAGAAAAAAAAAACAAAAGTGTGTACCCTATGTATTCTTCCAGACTATCCTCTACATCTTAACCAAATTTCATCAAAATCCGTTCAGTCGTTTAGGCTTCAAAATCCCAAACTACTAATCTAAACATTCACATTTATAATATGATAAAATTCGTACAATGAATAGTCTACAGCTAAAGAAGGAGGCTTTAACCGCTTATTGATAAAGTAAAATGTTTCCAGATTATAATTATCTTGTATTTTGTTGCAGTGGCTTGCTCGACTGTGACTGTGACGAAGTGCCAGGCTGCTCTGAGGACTCTACAAGCGTTCCCGTTCTTTAAACCGACTTGTCTCTGTCGAGAGCCGAACGTCGATCCTGAGTGTAATTCGTTCCGCGACTTCCTGTTCGACCATCCTTGCGTTTTCGTCTTGAAGAAGGGTATGTACAATTACTTACTTTAAATGAGTAATCGACAGTTCATCTGGTTATTAATTTTGATTTTTAATAAGTTTTGCTATATCATAATCTATGTGTCCATATTTATTTTTTAATGGAATACTTTATAACAACTGATGTTATCTTAGATAATACAGAAGATGTTTAAATAGTATAATAGCTACATAATTACTAACACAATAGAGTTACATGACATATTTTGTTTACAGAGAAAGACCCATACCCAGTGGAGACTCTACCGACCTGCACGTATGCCCTGAGTGTCTGCCACAGCGAGAAACCATGCTCTATCCTTTTTGAACGATTCAAGAACGCCTGCAAAGCTCGGGACGGAGAATGTCGCATGGAAGATAGGTTAGTTTCTTAAATGTTTACGCCATAGAATCTAAAACGTCGATTAATGTAAATATGTATATTAACATCTGATTACTATGAAATTAATGTTTATTCTAAACCACAGTTGAAAATTTTGAATTCACAAAAATCGCTACTATAAGAGTAAAAACTATTTTAAAACTACGATTTCAATTTATGCAACCGTATCGATCGAGTCTACAAAAGTTTATTTTAGTTCAGCGATTCAGTATGGATTATGCACGATGATATTTCTAGATTCACATGCAGCTTAAATTGAGGCAGAATATCAGCGAAACACGATTACTAATTGCTATTAATATTTTGCTATTTCGTATTTTGCTTACGTTAGTAATGTAACACTACATAAATTATAGTCTTACCAATATTAATTGCGAATGTTTGCATGGAAGGTTGTTAGAGTTTGTAGCCTAAACTACATAATGGATTTCGATTAAATTAGTCATAGATAGATAGAGCATAGTCTGGAAGGACACATGGGCTACTTACTTTTGTTTTTAATTTCACGCGGATGGAGTCGATCTTTAAAGCTAGTAGAGCTATATATACAATTGTATACATCTTAAATATCATATAAAGACCTAACCTACAACATGATTAATGTCACAACAATTTTTGGATGAAATTAAGCACAAAGAACATTGTCTAATTACTTTTGGGTACCAAATGAAGTCCAATAATGGATTGAGAAAATGTGAAAGAATTAAATTCAGATATGACGTCCGATAGAATTGTTGGCGTACAATCTGTGCTGATCCTCTCCTTTTTCCACAGGGAATCGTGCCGTGAAGCCTGGTCTGGTCTCCGTCTCTCCCCTCTCTTCGGATGCATCTGCCCTAACACGCACATGAAGAAAAGATGCGATCGCATCTTTGCCGTCGTCAACCACAACCCGTGCGTCGGTGAGTACATTGTCGTGGCTAAAGCTCATTGTAACAGCGGGTTTTGAGTAAGATATACAAATTAAAGCAATGTTAAGTATTATTCAACAACATATTAAAAATAATTAAAACAACAAACTCGTGTACAACAACAAAATGCATAGAGTAGTGATTCAAACATTTAAAAAAAACGTACTAAGTGATTTAGATAGTATACCAATCTATTAATACCAAGACAAAGAGATTTCTATTAAATTAACTTCCACTTAAATCTATGTATCAGTAAAAAGAAAAGTAATATAATGCTATTTATTAAAGTTACACATTATTTACTTGACATAAATCTATCCTATACTTTTAAGACAATCAGTAATTGATTTCTCGTATCGCAAACTTGAAACTAAATCTCTACATTAAAGCTCAAAAGCCGGATTGTATGTAATCCTATTAAGTGGGGCGACGTCAAAATCTAGCCGACTCAATATTATACCTTTCCCAGATACTATATCTATGAGGTCAATAATAAATAGATACTATTATATTGGGGCACTAGTTAATAATCAGGTTGAGCACTTAATACGACTTAGACTCTTACATCAACTAAAGCGAAGCTATAACTATGATAAACAAGTGATTTGATCAAGAAGGGAGTGATGACAGATGACGGATAAAATAATTATCTGGAGGACAAAACTCCAGTGCGCTAACCCTACGGAAGTAGGATAAGGAACGGAAGATTATAACTATTATCTTATCTATTTTGAGTGTAACAAACCATAAGTGTGACATACAAAATCACAAAATATAGTACAGTCCTAACTATCGAACTTTAAACCTCTTTTTGTGTCCACCTCCCAGCTATGTCATTCTTGTGAATCTTTGATAAATAAGATATCGTCGAATTAATGAAGGAGAATGTATGAATACGTCTAGAGCATTTGAAGCTATGTTATAGCTATCGCTTCCTTTAGTGTGTGGAAAGCTTTATGACATAATATCTGAAACGTTAGAGCTCAACTACGTCGGTTTCAATATATGTGAGCGTTTGATTCATATCTTGTAATCCCTACTGAGTTCTTATTGTGGAACTTGAGGGAAATTCTCTGTAGGGTTGCCACCGGAAAGATTTATTTACTGTCTATGGAGTATCAATGGTCAATGGTTTAGGTACAAATATAAACGTATTATTTAATCATATCAATTTCTTAAAGGAACTTCTATAATATTTATAGTTTACTTAACGTCAGGTTTTACACATTTCTTACATAAAAAATGGTTGATCCCGACATAACTGTTGTTCAAATAATCGTAGTTCTTAATGTTCTACATCCAATGTTATTTTGTTTCTATCTTATCAAAACGTGACAGCCCTGTCTAATAATAAAGGATGAGTTTTGCTTCACGGCGTGAGATGATCTCAACCGATGCGTTAACTTCCAATCTTTCCTAAGCCCTTTAATTCCGTGAATTGTTCTTGCCTTTGTGTTTCGCTTCAATAACTTTTCTCTCACTTCCGTTCTTGTCTATGCTCATTATACTTTCGTGATGTACAATATCATACCTATATACATGCAACCAGAGTACATATGTTTTGTACTTATTATTGAGAACTTTACATCTTTAAATATTGAAATTTTTCCTAATATTTCAAGCTTAATATTTTTTGTATTGTTCTTGAAAAGACAATTACATGAGGTTCCTTTCTAGAAACTACATGTTTACCATTTGTCGTTTCTAAATATTCAAATCTATGAAATTACTAATGTACGTGCGAACGTTTAGATGTCTGTTAGAGTTTGTTGCCAAAATTGAACGGATCTTAATGAAATTGTCTGTCTCAAAGTCTGAAAGGCTACTAACTTTTGTCTTCTAAATGCACGCGGACTGACTCACGGGCGAAAGCTAGCATGCAATGTTTATTTAAAACTAATTTCTAGAACTACATTAAATATCTTAAACATTAAAATGTAAATTGACCTGTAAAACAGATTTCAATTCCAAACAAGATTTCAAATGTAAACCTTAATCAAATCTTTTAAGAGTTCTCTCGCTAGATTTTTCCAGACGAAACGAAAACCCTAATTTAAATATGATTCATTCTTAGACTTTGCTCGAGCAAGACTCGAGTTGAAATTGAAAAATGAAACCGCGGATTATGGATTTAACAAACAAACATAAATACAGAAAATGAGCTATTCAAACCGTTTTCTCACCTTACTCGGGATAAAATGGAATTTTTATCAGACGGTGTAGAATTTTCTAGATAATCAGCAGATAAAAAAGAGACGTTTAAAAACAAAATACCATAATATAGAAGGGAGTGACGAATGATTGATTTGTAAAACGAAAACCTGTTGTAAACACATTGAGAGTGAGATAAAGACAGGGTCATGGTGATTGTCATAGAGTTGAATAAGGACAGAAGGAGTACTAGCCCACCGCCAGTCATGGCCCCACCGACCACCGACCCTCAGGTCATACTGACCGAATCGCGGGAGGGCGCACACGGTCTGACCGCATGCACCTTCTTACCTCCTACAAGTTATATTGTCTATTTATTTGTCACACGTCTCCCCCTAATGGGTGTGATGACACAATGGACATGAACATGTTCGCCGTCGGGCATCCACACCAGCGCTCTACTCCAGTCTATATAGAAGAAGTACTAATAGAAATCTTTCACTTGTATGAAAGAATTATCTAATTTTACTTAAGAAAACGTCTTTTAATTTCAAGAAGTAATTATTTTAACAACCATAATATCTTTACGAATACGCGAAGGCAAGTAAACTTCACTTGCCTCATATTCATAGCTCAAGGCTTGGGAAACTAATTAATTATTTAAGCTGGAGTTCCACCAAAACTTAATTAACAAGTTAAACTGCCATTTAAATTGTATGTAATGGATACGAAAATTCAGTTAATTTCAATTATTGGTAATTCCATGTCATACGTACGGTTGTTAGTAAAATGAATAATCTATGGTAGTTTGGAACTTTAATTTACTTTAGGACATAAATTAATATTAAAAGTTACTAATTGTATTCTAAAAGTTAAAGGTACTGTGCAACTTGGGTTCTGTTAAGACACGAGCTAACCTCTAAAGACCGCTAACCATTTGCAATGCTTCTGATTGATCTGTCAACTCTAAAGATTTCACTGTTCGTTTGCTCCGTACCATAAAAAAAAATTCCGGTAAATAAAATTTCCCTAAAAAGAATTTAATATTTTCGTATAAAACTGCGCATAGGTGTGCAAACTTGTCCTACATAGTTGCGTGAATAGGTAGAGAACAAACGACGCTATTGTTTTCGTTTCTAGCTCGCTCCAATTCCTCCAACATTCGCACATAACGAAATTCACTTCCAGGCAAAATGATTCCCTTTGTCCGCCGCCGCGTCCACTCGGACTTAACTCACATGAATTCCCAATGCCCCTGTTTGAATTCATTTAAGTCATTTTAAATGGAATCGTTTTAATATGAAGAGCTCGGGCATTATCCGGACAATGCAATTCCCGCGTTATGAGAGTTGTACGCGGATTATTGAAATTTAAATTTGGAATCCTTTTTTTTTTATTTTAAATGGTTTATGCTTTCGATTCTTGTAATCTTTAGATTAAATTCAGCCAGCATTACGAATAATCGTATATGTAATTAGACTTGGTATCTAAAGTCGATGTGTTTCGTCAATTCTGATTCGTTATTCAACATCTCTCAAACAATATAAATTGATAGAGTTCAAGAAATATCAAACAAGAAGAAATAACTCCAAAATCCGTGAAAAAAAATATTTACAAACGTTAACAAAGGGACCAAAAGTTTCGCTAACATATCCAAGTTCAGGAGTTACGATATTCCTGTCGGAAATATGTTTACTGAGTTTTGACTGTAAAAACACCTACGCTGAAACGTTATTATTATCTCTGTTTTTTTTTTTTTCAAGATTAGTTAAGAGATGAAAACATGTATCTATACAGCGGTTTCCGCAGAGGAAATGTTTAGTAAAAATCGTGTTTAAGTGCTGTAAATATATTTTTAATTTGCTTTTAAGTATGCTCTCCACACCATAACCTCGATCGAATATTTAAAAGTCAAGAACGCATCGATACGATAAAGAAAAGAACGGAAATCCATTCAGTTTCAATCCCTTTGTATTTGGGGGCACTTTGAGGGCGTACTACAGAAGTAAATCTTTTGATGATTTTCTTTACTACGTCCCTTTTTCTTTGACGCGGAATTTCTCAGTATTTTCTATTCATTTGTAACTGGAATGAAAGGAAACGTCTGCATCTTTGAGGTCTTTAACTATCGCATTTTAATGACGATCTGTTATTACTTAAAAATACAATTTAATTGAAATTAAGAAAACACATATTAAAAAAAAAAACAATTATCTAATGTTCACGCAATGATACGACTTATTTTGAAATTAAATTTGTATGCTTTTTAATTACCGAAAAACTAAATGGAATTTTTGTATAAAGTCAGAGTTAAAGTAAAGTAATTGAATCGACTACGGATGGCGTTTTCTCAATACATGAGAATATCCAGATGTTTAAATAACACAGTTTTCTCGGCTAGATATTAAGAATATCAGGAAAAAAGAAACGCTAAATATTTTTATACATATAATAAAATTAAATCTAACAGTTTCTTCTAATTGCTCAAGACTTATTATTGTCTTACTCAAAACCCGCAGTGACTAGTGTACTGAAGTGATATAGTATAGCTTTAAATGTTAAATGGCCAACCACTTAAAACTTAAGAACACTTGTACAATAATTCTTTACATAAGGAACACATCGTGAATTTTGTAATCTATGCAACACAACAAAACACTTATTATAAATTATATAATTATCTTTTAAAAATTTCTAAATGTATATTTTAAACGTATGTGTTAAAATTAAAATGTATATGTACAGTACATTAACAATAAACTATGACACAACAAGAAACGCTTCTAAGGAGTACTAGACTCGATTCCAATAGTCGTCAACGTGTTAAATTAGTTATTTTATTTGTGTCTTTATTTCTTTTTATTTATCCTTATTGGTGCCTATTTATTTGAACACCGATTAGATTGCATAGGCCTTAGGATTTACTTAGATCACTACTTTACCACACAAGGCTGTTTATTATGTTTCACCGGACACTAAGCTTCTTTTTAGTGTACTCCTGACCTCACACACCTTACAAAATGCCCGCAGTTACCTCAACTCTTGGCTTCCGACACCTTCGGCCTTCGGTAATTACCCTGGACTGTTAGAGCATAGTCGATGGGGCGGCGAGCGTTGTTCTAACCTTACTACCTAACTCTTCGGGAGCCACTTTTAACCGATTGCATGAAAATAAGGTGATTTTTAAATATTGATCGGTTAAGGGTGGTTGGCTGGTGGTACAGCGGTAGCGGCTCGGTAGTTGGGGGCTAGAGTTAACGTGGTGGGCACTGGGCAGCGGCGGCGTGGGGCGAGTGCCCTCCGGCGGTGCGCGCTCTGTTCGAGGCCCCGCCGCGGGCACCTGCACGGGCCCCTCCCCTGACGCGCTACGCCGCGCCCGACGGTACCATCCTGCTGCTCACCGAGAACGGCACCCGGCTGCTGACACGGGCCGCCGCCGCGAGCCTCCTGCGCGCCGCCCTCCTCTCCCCGCGCCCCCACCCGCCCCGCCACGGTGAGCCGCCGCTCCCTCTCTTCTCTTCTCTTTGTCTTCTCTGTTCTCTGTGTGTCTCTCGGATCCGTCGCTCTCGCCCTGCACGCTTCGCAATCGCTTTGTAAGGTAGGAGCGTCTAGTTACACATTACACCGACATCATGGATTCATTACTAGGAACTTTGTATCATCGTACCGTGGAGTGGACACATAAAGTCGGCGCAGATGGTATTGACGTGCTTGAAGCAATTTATTCCACTACTAGGAAAAAACTTCAAGTTACAAAAGAAGGTTTTAATAGCTTTTACACGGTTGTTGAGGATTTAACGTTATTTTATTGTATGTTATTTTATAGAAATTAAAATCTGCCATGTGGGATCGAGGAATATTCTTAAAATTATGTGAAAATTGTTAGGATACGAATAGTATTTTCGCACGAACAAGGACAACAAACTCGCTCCTACTTTATGCCCGCATGCTTAAGTATTCTGCCACTTTCCAAAATACATCTAACAGGCATACAGGGACTACTATCTCTCTGTATGTTTGGAATGATTTCATCTCAGTTTTGTAGCATGTTTGCATGTTTTCCTTCTGCATTTTCTTCTACGATCTCTATGGTTACTGCGCGGCATAGACCTTGGCTTTAAATATAGTACGAGCGGGACTGCCATACAATGACGGCTTTGCTAATCTTACCACCGATACGGTGTACATTTTTCTTAAAACATTGTCGAATACTTTATATTTTTGCCAGATTAAATGTCTTTAATTTGCCGATTTATTGTCTAGATTGTCATATTTTTTAAATATTTTAATTAGGATAAATTTATTCCGATGTAAAACCGATCCTGCGCGTACGCAATTCTGCTATAATCCGGAGTCCCGTCGCGCTATGGCTCGGTCGCCGGCTCTGAGGTTAAGACGATACGATGGGTGCTATTGCAGTAAAGCTGATGTCCGACGGTTGGCACGCTAATCGGAACGCGACCCGCGTGACGTCATGGATCGGCGGTATGTCCATAACTCAAGACGGCAACCTTATAACACCGGATAAAATTATGACACACGTCCATCGATATGCAAGTCCGCATTACCATCCACATGGACATCATAGTCACCGCTGGAATCACGAGCCGGGGGGGAGTGAGGACCCCCTCTATGCCACCAAGACAGTCTACGGCCCCGGATACATTGATGAAAACCGTACGTATTAAACATTAATCGTCGTGTATTAATTAAGTTAAAAAACAATAAAGAAATCTATAGAAGATTATAAGTTTTAAGAAACATATCCATATTGAAAAAACACTAATTACAGACATTACAACTAACCATAGATATCGTACTCATTTCAAGCTTTGAGTTTGTACAGTTCTAGAATCCAGTCCAATAAGGGCGTTCAATTTCAATATCCATTTAGTTCAAAGTGATAAGTGCTCATTTCCATTCCTTTAACCTCCGGAACTATCATTAGATGCCCCCGAGATATCCGAACTTTGTAAGTAGATATCTATCTGAAGACGTTTTAGTTATTTCCTAGCAAAAGATCACTAAATTGAGGCTTAACGTAGAAAACGATAGAAAGGATAGTGCTTTAGTATTACCCTTTAAAAACAGCTTTATCCTAATATCCATTTGTAGAGGTATTAGTTTTACAAAAGCGATTTAGTAAAAGGAGCTTAAACACATAAATCAGCGAAGCTTTGCTTTCGCTAAAGGTACAAGAAAACATTCTTCATTTATTGGATAAAATTTATAGTTATAAAGAAATTGTTTAATAGTTTTACGGTAAGTCTCTTGTTTATTTCTAGAATTGACGTGTTCTAGAGTTTTCCATTAAATGATATTTCACTACACCCTGAGCTTCGAGTTAAATCATTACCACATTATCAAAGAAGTTTTATATTTATCAGCATGAGTATACTAACATGCTTATTTTTTCAGATTCGTATACATATTTTATATTGAAATCATAAAGTCATCCTGTATCTAATTATTACATGATATATCACAATATACCAGTTTTGTATCACACTTTGTAAATGATATTGTCTTGGCATGAGCGTTATTTCTTGTATTTTGGATTATAACACCTTTGAATACTAATATATCTTTTTTTGTTCTTTATTTTCGTATATTTATTATATATTTCTTTTGTTTTTATGTTTATTTTACGAATATAAAAATATTTATACATTTACCTTCAAGAAGATTGAGGAAAAAATAATTATTTATTTTAAAAAATAACACTTTTTAAACTACCATTTAAATATTTCAATATAAACAATATTTTAGCGAATAAATCAGTAATCATTAATGTAATTTTTAAGTCAAACAAAATCGAATTATATCAGTGTTCTAAAACATTAAACGTACGGTACATATATATAAAGAAGTAAAAATCGGTGTAAAATCCAACACAACACAACACATAACTAACACTTAACAACCACCAACAGAGAGAATTGGGAAAGAGAACGGTAAATCAGGTGATGAGAAGGTGGCTCTGCAGTCTACGTGTCATGTTGCGTTGGACACCTGTATCAAAGACACCGAATGTGTCGCGTCGCTCACGCCGGTGCTGCAGAAATGCCACTCCACGGATTGCGACAGGGAAGGATGTATGACAGCTCTGCGAGGATTCTACCGCAAGCCCGGTGTCACCTGGAATACAGAGATCGCCTTCTGTCTTTGCAAGTTAGTATTTTAATTATTTACACTGTTTACGGTAATGACTAAATTATCTTATAGTAAACTGAAACGATGTGATTCTATGTCATGAATGCAATTTCGAATGTTTTTTTAATAAAGTGGCAAACGAGCCAGCGGCCACGTGTATTCGTCAAAATGGCGAAGCGACCGCTGCCTGTAGACATCCGCGATTGCAGATGCGTTACCTACCCTTAATAGACGGAAGAGGAGACGCACATGACCAGGATATTTCCCTTCCTATGAATCTTTTTCTTTCCATCCCTTCCTGTTAAGAAAAGGGTAGAAAGGAAAAAGGACTAAAAATAGGCCTCCGGCACACTCATCAGAAAAACGCGGAATTGCTCCCACTTCACGCCTGTCTTCTGTGTGGTCGTGGTATTTCACCAGCCGAACCGGCCTATTCGAGCTAAGATGTTAAAGCAGGCTTCACCACTGTTAAAATGATGTTTACAGATTGATAAATGAAAATACTTTTTAAAGTCACTTTACAAAGGGCCTTTATTTCTTGTAGATGAATATGAGTTAAAATTAATCGAGATGCGATGTCATAAAAGTAAAAATGTTATTACACATGATAAATTAAAAACATAAATTTTGATATCTAAAAGACTTTAGGAAATTGCAATTATTATTTTTTTTCTAAATAATTTCAGGAAAACTGACAACAGGGAGGATTCATGCATGAACGCTCAAGAACGACTTCACCCGTCTTGCGCTCAGCGGCCCCCTATCGGCTCCCCTCTCCCCGCCTGTCATACCCTGGCACACAACTGCAGGGAAGACCCTGAGTGCAGGTAAATCCATAAGAATTATTTTCCAGAGAAAAGTGGAAACAACCTAACGATTATTTGCAATTTAAAATCTGTGAAATTGTCTTGTCAATACTTTTTATGTATGAAAGTGCTTGTTAAAAAGGTTATTGAAACACACTACACGCAAACCTAAGCCCCTTATAAATATAATAACACTAAAAAGAGAATAACAGAATATTCTTCAAATTTTATACCAGAAAAGATGTCAACTCGAAGTATCAGGTCACGGTCGATTGGTCTGTTTGTTCGTCATTAGTGCAACCGTACAAAAGCTGAAAAGGTCACTATAAAAAACAAACGGCATGTCCCCGCATCATATATTTATACTTATCACAAAAGCACAAAGACTCAGTACTGTACAAAAGAATACTTGACATTTTCGCGAAGAGAACAATATGTCTGAAAACATTTTATGTATGAATTTCCACTGACAAAACACGTGTCCAAATCTAGCCATATCTCTCTACTATTGTAAATAAAGAGATAACATTTTGGTTTTGTAATGTTTTGGCAAAACCCACAGGTGAAAATAATTTGACGCCTAAAAAAACTACAACCCAATCCACAAACACGCATATTTGCTATTTTTTTCTCGCAATTTTCTTGAATTCCAAAATAACGTTTTTTATTTAAAAATAAAACTATCTTTCAATGTTAAAATACACTTATATTATGAAATAAATACTCAAGTGACAATATTGTCCCTAACTTTAAAATCTTTCTAAATGTACAGTTTAATACATGGAAAAGCGTCGCTCAAACCATTACATGATTGGTTTTCAATCAGAAATTTTTAACCCAATAACATTAATGTATTTTAAAGTAATTATGTAGTATTGGATACATTTATAAATTAAAATGTATTTAATTTATTTTAATACTAGCTTTTGACCGCGACTCCGTTCGCGTGGTTTTAAAAACAAAAGTAAGTAGCCTATGTATTCTTCCAGACGATGCATTAACCTGTGCCAAGTTTCATGGTAATCCGTTCAGCCGTTTAGGCTACAAACGCTAACAAACATTCATCCATACATCGTAATTCGTATTTATAATATTTATATGAATAACATATGCGTATGTACATACATACAAAACGTTGTTTATTCGTATATTCAAAATATCGTTTTAAAATATGTTCTCAATATTTTTTTGGGCCTTCTAAGTAAAGTGAAAATGGTATTTATAAAACAACTTAACCTTTAGCTCCCCGATTGCTTTTAAGTTATAAGAGTATGTAGGACACACTTAAGTTAACACTTGTCATAAATAATAAGAACTAACAAAATCTCTTAAATATACATCACGTAACTACTTATAAAAATATTTTTTACAAATGATCCACTTCAATCAAAAGAATACACTAGCTTTGCCCCGCGACTTCGTTGACGCGGGATTTAAAAAAAAAATTACCATGAAGCCTATGTGTTCTTCCAGACTCTTCTACTATACCAAATTTCATCTAGATTCGATCAACTATATTAATCAACCTTTTTATTCAGCTTAATTAGCCTAAAAAATGCAATAGATATAATTTGTGCAAATCTATTAAACCATTTTAGCAACACAAGTCCAGTGCAAACCGGAGAAGGTAGGCCGGGGAAACTAGGTCCAATCAATGTGTACGACAACTCAAACAGGCCGCAACGAATCTACGCTAATTACCAAACTACCCAACACTACTCTGGTTACCACACTTACTAGTAATACATGTTGATTTTTTTCAGAAATTCTACTAAATTTATACACTTTGTTAAAAAGTGTTTTGCTATTTTCATTCAGAATACGATTATACTAAAATAATGCGTAAGTTTGGATGAATGTACTGTTTGTTACCACGTAACATTAAGCTACTTACTAATTTTTTTAATACCTCGTAGACGAAACTAAAACCAAAAGCTAGTTGTATCATAGTTTTCCTAAATATAGTGTGTTTAACTCTAAATCATCTTAAGAGCGCGCGCAGACATGAAACTAAATTATCGCACATTGTTTCATCGCGCTTTGATTCCTATAAGCATATATGGACGTACGCACACTACTCTATTTTGGCTGCGAAACAATCGACAATCACACAACAATTGTGCGATAGTTTAGTCAAAGGTGTACGCCCACTCTAAAAGCGAATAAATCACAATGTATTCACATACTAACAGTGTCAAAAAACTTTGATACAATTGGGATTGGGTAATTAGTGCAGGATGTGGCGTGAAAACGGATTTGACCGGACGGCCGTAAAGGTGTCCGGTCGTGACACATTGTCCCGTTGTGGTTGAACCCATCCTGTGGGTAACTGGCGAACTAATTATGTACAAACTATCGTCCAGATTCTAGTATTCAAAACAACACTACGAGAAAAACAAAAACGAAAAAAAACAGTCATTTGTTTTTAACCGTCTTGTCATCGATTTGTCTGATTTTTTTACTATTTTTGCAAATTAAATGACTACCTGTTCTTCGATATTAAATAAAAACTATAAAACGAACTTTCTATACAGTTTTATCAACATGTAGATATCTTGATGTGATGTAATTGTGTATGTGCTCAAAAATTTGCTAGAAAGTATTCGTAACGTATTCGATAAAATTTGCAACATGCAGCACAAGTGGCATAAAATTTTTGTCGACGTCGATTCAGACGTATTCTGACAAATTTTCGTGCTAGACCCCCAGATCTTTACTTACACGAATTCCCACAAAAATTATCGTTAAAACTAAACTTTATAAGTGAATAATGAATTTTAACGTTCACGATTAAACAACTTTTGTTCAGTCATGCCTTAAATCGAAATTTGCCAGCGTTAATGATATTTCCGCGCTAATGATCCAAGTAACTTAGTCAAATATTTTGACAGCGGGAAACGACAATTTGGAGGGACCGCCGCCGGTCCCCCCTAATTAATTATTATATCATCCCCACCCTCACTTGCACCCCCAATTATAACTCCCCTAGGCGTCCGTACAAAGTAGAATTCGTTTAAAACCTTCAGTAAATTTTTTTTCGGTATGACTTTTGTTTTCAAGGATGGTTTGTGTATGGATGTTCCATTGTAGTTGCCTGATTTTAATGAGTTGTCATCCGATTTGGTCATTCCCCTCACTATAATAGTACTGTCTGTCGTGGTTTTTTGGTTTTTAGTATCTTATGGGTCTTTTCAGAAAATCTCATTATACTCCAACAACGCGTATTCTTATATACATGTTATGTTATTTTTTTAAATATTAAACAATCTATTGTCGAGGTTGCAAACAAGTTTCCATCCGAATGTTTCGCGATGGATTTTACATGACTTAATTACGGGGTCCATATCTTTATGTAAGTTTTGACAGTATTCCTATTTAAATTTGTACATAAAAGTTTTTTTGTGTTTGTATCGAAACAATCTTAATTTATAGAAGAAAAACATTATTTGTCACTTCCTTTCGACCTCATGAGAATATTAAACTATTATTATTAAGCAACAATTGCAAAAGTCTAGTTTTTGTGAAGTAAACATTTTTGTTTTCGTGAACTAAATATTATTAAAAAATATACATTTATATAGTACTTCCTGAAGAAATTTTATCTAGCTTATCGATTTTTACTACAATATCCCGTTATACATCCCAATAATATGGTGTTCCTAGTTATACGAGATATTTCGGTCGTCGTTCAACGCCGTGCTCGGATCTCAGCTAAATGAACGCTGAATAATTCCAGCCGAGATTTCGCGTACATTTTCGCCCCGTTTAATCGATATGCCGATAAATGTTGGAACGTCGGTATTTCCGTGCCCTCTCGTTCAAGATATGTTCACTGATGAATAATTTCCCGCTTTACGATACATCGCACGTGTATATTAAATGTTTGAAAGTAAAGATGTAATAAATATTTCAATGCCAGTTTTTGCCCGCGTTTAAAAAAAAACAAACGCAATAGCCTATGTGTTCTTCTAAACTATGCCAAATTTTATCGACATCCTTTCAGTCGTTTATGTTACTAATTGTAACATACATCCATCCATCTATACCTTCGCATTTATAATGTTAGTAAAGAAGATGAGATAATATTATGTTGACCAATTTAATATAAGGGTTATCCTCATTTTATGTAAAAATTGGCAGCATTGGCAATTGGCTCAACGTTTTACGTGCTGTTAACTTTCGTGTGCATTATACGATTTAAAACCTTGTTATTTGAACGTGTATGACAGTCGCCACAAGTCTAATATACTAATATTACAAACAGGAAAGATTTGTATTTTTGTATGTATTGAAATAACTCTAAAAGTACTGGAACGATTACAATAATTTTTGCACCATTAAAAAGCTATGTTATCACTGAAGTTATATTTTTACTATTTTTTTAAATTTCACGCGAACGAAGTCACAGGCAACAGCTAGTTTGCTATAATTCGCTCAATCGACTTAAACAGGATTCGCCTGGAGAACTACGAGCAATGGTGTGCGGTGGACGCGGTGACGCAGGGCTGTGCTGGCTCCCCGGGCGCGTGCCGAGCGGCGGTAGTAGCGGTGCTGGGAACACAGCTACGAGCCGCTTGCGCCTGCCGCGGCACTGACTTCGCCCAGCTGTATGATTGTCTCGGCTGGCAACGACTGCTCTGGTTAAATCCCTGTGTTGGTAAGGAAAAAAAAATAGATTAAAAGCTTGAGGTTAATCTATATTTCGTATGTGTTCAATATAAGATAAGATTATCATTTACGTGTTCGACGTTACTGATTAGTAAACAACGAACCAAAAAGGACAAAGTCTTGTTTTAGATAGTGAGCAATATTAAAGTAATTTGAAAAGCACACGATGTAGTTTGCGTGTATGTTTATGCAGGTTTTTACATAATTTTATTTAATAAGCGCGGGCACACCTGAAACTGATCTATCTTCTTTGTTTCCTATGACCTTATATGGAGTTCCACACTACTCAATTTTTAAATGTGTAACAGTTGAATTGGCTGCAAAATAATCGCACAATTGTTGTGCGATTATTTAGTCAAACGTGTGCGCCCGCTCTAAAAGAGACACTATACCGAACCCACGTTACCTTTACTTATATTTACATTCCAGTTGAATCTCAGCATGATTATCATGTGAAGACATATGCCTCGCTGCTTACTACGACTCCTTTTGACAACGGCATCCGTTACATCACGGTGCCGCCAGCGCCAGGACACCGCACCACGCATCACCATCGCCACACCACGCAGCACGCCACGCCGCACGCCACGCAAGAACGCAACCAGGTATTATTTGTTGTGCAGAGTACCAGTACCTCCAATAGAACCCTCATTAAAGGTCTCGGTACCTTCGCCATCGCCGAGAAGATTTTGTTGATTAGAAATCACTTAACTCTATTTTTACACAAAAGTGTATCTTTCAAAGATTAAACCCTCTAAAACAAAAAAGGTTACTTTTTTATACAACCAGACGAGAATTGGAACCTTCGCTATATTGTGTAAAAATGTCGAACTTATTTGGGTTAAGGTATTGAGATAGTTTTTAATATTTTACAGGAAAATCGTGAACTCCTCAGCCCTATAACAACAATGACTGAAGAGACAGCGCCTAACGAAGTCGGTCAGATATCCGAGCCGATGGTGGAAACTACTACGGAAACAACCACCGTGGCGACAACCACTACAACAACCACGACCACCACGACAACTACTACAACCACCACCCCTAAACCTACCACAACTCTCGAACCAACTAAGTATTGTATCGTGAAGAAACCAGAAAGCGATGATCAAGCTCAGTACATTAAGATGGGGGAAACAAGGAGGGTAAGACGTTAGATAACATTAATCCATCATTCACAAAAAAGCTACAATCAGTATTCCCAAAAAGTAATTAAGACAATGTAATAAGACTATGGAAAATGCTTGAATTAACTCCTTGTACTTTGTAACATCACTTCTCTTATCTGGAATATTTTAATTATTGCTATTTAATTATTACAGGCTCTAGAAAAAATTCAAAACTATTTTTTAATTTTAATGTCTTAATTACACAATTTTTTTATTATTTTATTTTAACTTTATACAGAGAAGAAAACTATTCTATAAATACAAATTGAAAGGTTGTAGTACAGGTGAGCTTAACTTTAGGAGTTATCTTTAGCTAACCATTCGATACAGAGATGTTTAGCTGGTGTGTTTAGTGATTCAGCTTTTAATGAAGAATATATTTATCCTGCCTAGTATTGTTCGAATTTATACATTGCAAACAAGAGACAAATCTTCCCTTATTTGCACTAAGATCCCAAGTATTCCTCCAGCTGTACAGATCAGCGGAGCTGGCGGAGTGCACGGACCTGTGCGTGTGCGAGGCGTCGCTGCAGGTGTCGTGCAAGGTGGCGTGCGTGCCGCGCGCGCCCTGCTCCTCGCGCCTGGCGCACTACTCGCACGCCGCGCCCGCCTACCAGGCCTACCGCGGCCGCTGCTACTGCTACTCCGGCTCCTTTATCTGCATGAGACCTAACCCTGGTACGTTGCACAAAATCATATAGCGGTATAGCTTAACAAATCGCTTGACCACGATCCCACCTGAAGAAAATGATGATGCAGTCGAAAGATGGTACACGCTAGCTTTTCAAAACAATAGTGCTATCTATACATTTGAAAGCAATAAAATCAATAGCCCAAATTCGCATGGACGCTTTTTTAACGCGCGTTAAAAAATCGTTGAAATGTATATCGGCGAAGAAGTTCAAAGATATCTGCGAAGTCAACCCGCATTAGGCCAGCATGGTTAAGACCTAGTCACTGTAACTAGCAGGCTCCGAGCCCAGAAGTGGGAAGGAATAGTGAGCTAGTGATAATGATATGCTATATAAGTAACTTTGATATGGCTGCCTTTAAGAGACACGGTTTTTTATCGCGCAGTATTGCGTCTTACGAAAGGAGAATTTAAAACTGGAGGACACTTTTCTTGTTTATAGGAGAGTACAAGCTGCCGGAGGGCGTGTACCTGCTGCTGGGGTTCAGCGCGGTGGACGAGGCGCTGCTGCGGCCGCACACGGGGCTGGGCGCGGAGGACGCCGTGCGCCTGCTGCAGCACTACCTGCACTACCTGCACCCGCAGGATGTCAGTAACATATTACTTACTACTTAATAATAGTTAAAAGTATAGCATACTAGCTTTTGCCCGCGACTTCGTCCGCGTGGAATTAAAAAAAAAATTGAGTAGCCTATTTGTTCTTCTAGACTGTGACATCTATACCAAATTTCATTGAAATCTATTCAGCCGTTTGGACTACAAACTCTAACATACATCCATCCATCCATCTACACATTCACATTTATAATATTAGCATGATGTTACTCAGTAATAACGTAACTGTTTAATGGTGAAAGAATTTTTGTAGTCCGCCCAGTAGTTTTTGAGTTATTTCAATACTTACAAAAATACAAATCTTTCCTCTTTATAATATTAGTTTAGACGAGCGACTCCGCCCGCATGAAATTAAAAAAAAAAGTAAACAGCCTATGTGTTCTTCATAACTTCTGTACTTATGTCAAAATTCATTAAGATCCGTTCATTTTGTGCAAACTACATCCATCCAAACTTTTATCTTTAATATTTTAAATTTTTAACAGTAATGTAAGTTTTAATCACACTCTAGTCAAGTATAATTTATTGATTTTAAACTGGACTAGAAAATGATAAAAGCTGTAAAATAGAAATAACATATATGTAATTTTAGATTTAGAACAGTGGTAGTGCCAGCTTTAACATCTTAGCACTGTAGGGCCGGCACGCTCGGTGTAATACCACAACCACACAGAAGACAGGCGTGAAATGGAACCAATGCCGTGTTTCGTCTGATGAGTGTGGTGCCGAAGGTCTGATTTAAGTCTCTTTCTCTTTACCACCCTTTTCTTATGAGAGGATGGGAAGGGGAAATGGATTTGACGATGGAGGAGATGCATAGGAAGAGGAAATATCCTCTTTATGTGCGTCTCCTCCTCAGTCGGATAAGGGTAGGCGACGCATCTGCAATTGCAGATGTCTATGGGCAGCGGTCGCTTCGCCATTTTGGCGGATTCAGGTGGCCGCTTGCTCGTTTGCCATTTTATGTTATAAAAAGATTTAGAAACACTGTAAACTTTTCTGATAATAAAAACACCCGTATTCCAGGTCCCTGAGGAATATATGTCAGGGGAGCTATGAGAGCGGCAAAAGCCGCCAAAAAATACAATTTTCTTTAATCATAGTAATATAATCGTAAATGGTTTTAATTTCCAGAACAACTGCACGCTGACGCTGTTCAACATCAGCAATGAGAACGTGATCATATCGGCGAGCGTGCCGCCGCGCCTGCAGGAGACCCTCAAGGAGGCTGGAGAGGATCTGCTGGATAAGGAAAAGGTATCCCGCTAATAGGGAATATGCATGATTTTTTATTTCATTTTTTAAACATTTCTACATGGAAAAATCCAACAATTAAGCTAAAAAAAGTCACAATCATTTTTGTCCGACTAAACCGCGGCCGAAGTATTCCCGAGTGTTGTGACGTCGTCAAACAACAGCAACGTATTTGATTGGTCCCCAGAGTTCTCAAAATACAATAGCGTTGCGTTTTAGAACTTGGCTAAAAAAATACACTTTTTAATTATTGAATCGTATTATAGTTAAATTTATAGATATGTTAATATTGTAATAAGTACACAATAAAAAAAAATTGACGTCATGGTCATGAGCGTATTGCCTAATAATAAAATCTTCTGTAGTCTTTCTCGTAAGTAGAGGAGGACTGAAGAAATTAATTATTACTTGAAAGAGGATATGTGGAAGGGAGTGAATTGCCGAAGATGTCGTCAACGGGTAATCCAAGCTAGGTCTAGATATAAATTTTAATTCTGTGTTATTTATTTTAATAGTCAGTAACTATTCCAAATGTTTCCCGATTTCAGGAGGCGTGTATCGATGTATTGAAAATCGTGAAATCTCGAATAAATTCTCAACACGAAGATATATCTTCTCATCTTCTGCTGTCCATCTTCAAGATCGCTGAAGTTGACGTGGTGTATCCAACACCGCCGAGCTCTTCGACTATAATTATCCGACCTCAAACTAATATTTATATGTTTCTAGCATTTATTGTATTTATTCAATACTTTAAACAAACTATAATCATATTTATTTCTATAATATTTATTATTACAGATTTATTTCATTTCATTTTTAATAATACGAAAAAAATCGTTCCTTTTAAAAACATATCTATTTTGGGCAAAAATGAATTTATCGTTGAAAATGTAGATATAAGAATGCACAATGCACTCGCTTTAGACAGCGCACAATATATAAAAGATATATATGTAAATAATGAAACGAAACATATCAAAGCTGTGAAATATAATTTTAATAAACTTGTGGATGCGATTATTAAATATTTTTCTAGAAAAATGTATTACGATGATTGTAAGCTTTTTGTGGTATGTTTTAACACACGTCCCTATCTTATGGATTCTATAGTTTAGGGCTGAATCTAGTAGTAGTATGAAGACTGAAGTTTTAACTAAACATATCATAGATAAGTTGTACGTTTTTTTCTATAGAACTGGTGCTTGTAGGTTCTTATTACTAGGTTTTGTGAATACGCCTTTACACTGTTGTATATGTTCTCATTTTGACATTTAAATTTTACTTTATCTGTCACCGATCTGCAAACGTCATTTTATAATCTGACTAGTCATTTTATAAACTAGTATAATTGAACTGAAAGGATCGTATTACGGTACTTTACTGTTTCTAAGAAAAAAGTTTCTTATGTTTGTTCACGTTGAATTATAAACTGCCGAAATATGTAATTTGTCGGTGACATTTATATTATTTTAACAGATTACGTCTAACTCAATCTTGAGATCTTCTTCAATTTATTAGATCTTAGACAAATATACAAAATACGTAAGAGTAGGTAAATTATTTTTCACTTTAATTTTTTAATTTCATTTTTCTAGATTGCCATGTTCTAATATTGTGTCTTATACCTTATCTAGGGTGCTTATATTTATTTATATGTGGGGTCTTTCTATTTAAGAATTGTATAGCATATAACATAGTGTAGTTTGCTATAAGTAGGAGCTATTAGGAGTCGCCTTTCTGTTAGATAAATATGTTATAGATATGTGGAGCACTTTTAGATTTATAAGGTAATATTGCTACTTTATTTTTTAATTATTTTTTTAATTTTTATAAAGGAGATTTGTAATATTGTTATTAATTGAGATATAGCTTAATTTGAGAGATTAAAAAATAATTCACCTTATGTTATTTCTACCTAAATGCAAGTGATTAAATAAATTTAATTCGTCAAAGATTATAAAAGTAAAAGATGGTAAAAAATAGGCAAAAAGTTACGAAAATGAGGAAAATTTGTCAAAAACTAAATTTGTTTTTTTATTAGATTTTAAAGTTGCAATATTACCTGTGAGTAGTAACTTAGGTAACACTTAGATAAATGTTTTCTTTTTTGTTCTGAGACGCGTTAAAGGGTATGTAATATTGGAATGGTAAAGGAAGAAGCTTTAATTTGTAGTAGAGTATTCTTGTGTTCTAAAGAGTTTTAAGGAAAGTAGAGCCACATTTAGGATACCTTGTAAATGTTTAGATTTGATGTTTACATGTAATTGCGTACTAACTGGTCGATATTTTTTGATATTTTTCGCTTTTCGTTACTTTTTTCTACTTGTAAAAGGATATTTCTTGTTACATTTAATTATAAGATCGAATACATATCATTTTTATTAGAAAAATTAGGTAATTGTTTTAGAAAATTTATTGTTATTGTCACGTATGTTTAGCAATTTTCAAAATATTTCTTTCTGTAAAATATAAAGCTTTTGATAGAATGAAATTTATTGTATTGTTTTTATTTAAGAAAGTTTAGTATTAAAAAAATGCTTTTTGTATGTTGTAATTTATTTTAAAATTCAGATTATTTAGTACTATACTTTATTCTATATTTATATAAATCGTTGTAATCTACATTCTGTGAACGCGTCCATTTTGTACTTTAAACATATTTTAAAATCAAAATACCTATTTCTTTCGCTAATATTTTAATATTTATTTTAGTATCTACATCGAAAGTTCCAGTAAATAAAAAATAAAAGCACGCCACCTATTGACGAAACTAGAAAGCTATTTAGGTTTTATTCATATCAATAGATGGCGCTGCAAGTTAATATAAACTTTTTTTTTTAATTATAATTTTATATTTAATAAAAGTATAAATTACATAATAACTTTTCATAGCAGTATATTGTTACTTAAAAAAATTATATTGTTAAATGATTTTCATATTGAAGTGGAAAAATTCTTTGTTATTTTTTTTTAAATAACACTTATCGAATTAGCGAAATTGATTCTAACGATACATATCAATAAAGCTCAATTTTATACCTACTGTATATCTAGAGTTAGTTGTTGCAAAGCAAAATGGCGTAAAATCTTACGTAGCTTAGAATATAGAAAATATATAGATAATAAATAAAAATATAAGCGAGATGTTTAACTTAAATACAATATTACGGTTATTTGTTGCTTCAATAATTGCATAAAAACACTATTAACTAATTTATCTTGAGGCGTAAACGGTAATCAATTTTAAAACTTTTATTTTTCATAATTTTTTTTTAATTTACATTAAAACTTTATAATTATTTTAATATATTGGAATTACAGTAATATTTACAGTTTACACCTCATAATTATAAAAAAGTTAACTTGTTAATGGAAAAAATAATTTGCACACCTCATGCCTTCCATGTAAATAACCACTAAAAATATAAATATACTACATGTAATATAAAATCTGCACCATTTTGGAATTAAAAATTATTTATGTTTACGATACTTATTCAAAAATATGAAATTTTATTGAAAACAAATCAACTAATAAAACAAAGAAACACAATTTCTCACACTAATTATGCCAAGGTTACATTATTCCAATCCAGCGTCGATTTCGACTGCTGGACTGGAATGTAAACCGGGCAGAAGATACATTAAACTTATGTAAATAAATTAATGTTTCTAAACGATTTTTTTTCTAGTTGATGTTTAAACTGTTTATTATTTATTGCTTTCAATAATTGAACAGAAAAATGGAATGTTTTTAGTAGAAAAATAGTTTAAGACAATTTTTTTCTTTCTTTTCTGTATGTCAATAATATCGCTAACGTATGAGTGTTTAGTTTTAGTGAAATAAACTGTTATTACAATGTAGTCTATATAACGGTACACTTCAAATTTTACAATCGAGTAATTTAATATCGGTTTGGAAAGTACTTACTAAAAATAACCTCCAACATAACAAAGAACTCACTAATTACTTGTATTGTTGAAATAAATGGAAACGATATTATAAACGTCACTAGCTGGTTCATCTATTGTCTATGGATTTATTTTTAACTAGGTTTTGCCCGCGACTCGGTCCGCGCGGAACTAAAATGCAGATTATGTTCTAGGACTACTCAAATTTCATTCAAAAGATCATTTCCATTGAATTTGACTATATAATACCTAACCGAGGGTTGTCACTTTATTAAAACTATACTAAAACATGTATTCATATCTTTCATTGTCTTCGAAAAGTAAAGGTAATATTGTACAGATGTTGCGCCAGTGAAACCCATACTTAAGTAGATTTGTAAAAGAAATTAAGTCATTTAGGAGAACTTGTTTAGAAATACAATCAGGGTAAACTACAATCTTCAACATATCTAAAATTTTGCTGTATTTTAATACATTTAATTAATTTTAACACTTTTAAATACATTTTTTAATTAAAAAAAATCTCAAAAGCAATAATGTCACTTTAAATTTCTAAAAAATATTTCGAAAAGCACATTTACGATATATCAAATTTCTATTTTATATTCCGTCTCTATACAAAAAATGGACGATTTTTCCAAATCGATATTGAAATAAATAAATAAATATTTGTGAATACACGGCACTGTAGTGATATGCGTAACTGAGCTTTTAAAGAGTAAATAAATTGTTTTATACACTATTATGACATACGTATAAAATATAATATTATTTACCCACTATTCCTCGCGAGGTGATTCTGTCATCGTTTTGTTGTAGCTAAAATAAACGGATTCGTATAAAATATCGATCGTTTTATTTACTTATTCCCAAAAACTGACGTAATTCCTAGTTCAAATACTAGTACAGCTAGACCGTAGCACTAAAATTTAGCGCTGGCATACAACTGGCAAAAAGTAGAAGGTAACTGGCATCATAGAGGCGAAACAAAATATCATCACCACCAACTCACTAAAGTCCCCACCGGAGGGCTCAGAGCCTACCCTAAGTAAGGTAAGGGGTGACTAAGCCACGCTGACCCAGTGCTGGTTGGTTGACTTCACTCATATCTTTGAATTTCTTCGTCAAAATGTGCAGGTTGCATCACGATGTTTTCCTTCACCGTAAGAACGTCGGGTAAATTATGTACATATGAAAATTCGAAAAATCGAAAATCACATTGGTACTCGGCGGGATTCGAACCCAAGACCTGTAGATTACAAGTCAAGTGCTTCAACCACTGAAAAACAAAATATGCCGGGCCGCAACTGTCCATTACAGCTAATGGCATTATGTGTGCGAGGCATTACTCACAGGAGTAGTCAAATTAATAACTTCAATTTGGCGCAGTCCTGCTCGCCTTTTTACCTCTTGTTTCATTCACATTCATACATCCATACAATCTGGTTTCAATATTTGATTTTCCATATATAATAGGGGTAGAATAAAATTACTAGTCTTTAAAAATGGATTATAATAATACAAAATTGCATTAACGCTCTTCTAAATTTTACGTGAAAAATAATTCTCTCGCCACAAGCGCTGGCAAGTCGTGTAAGCCAATATGCTCGCTAGTAATTACATCATACCCACCCTCCGATCAATAAGTCTGCCAATGCAAAATGTAGGTCAAATAAAAGATGGTATTAGAAGCAAAGAAAATTTATTTACTTATAAAATAAACACAAACTCAGTCTTAAATGGCACTGCCGATACTTGGAAATGTAAAAACTGAATTACACTTAAAACTACAGAAGGAATATTTTTAAAATAAGGTATAAATTTAAACCGATTACTTGTCTTCTTTCTGATCGCTGGTACCTTCATTCTGGTCTTTAATTTCTTTACGAACTGGCCCAGTTTGTGCGATAGGAACCTTTCTTTCGCCCTTGATAGATTCTGGAACTGTCCTTGGTGCGGTGATAGTTAGCACGCCATCTGACGACAGCTTCGACTCAACGGTTTCAGGCAGCGTGCCTTCTGGTAATGCGTATCTTCTAGCAAACTGCCGAGACACGTAGCCGTGTTCATCTTTCTTCTCTTCGTGTTTACCTTCAACGATGATGTAGCCATCAGCAGTCTTCACGGAGATCTCTTCTGGAGCGAAATGCTGTACATCTAAGTTGATTTGGAACTTATCAGAGTCCGCTTTGATGCTGGAGCCGAGGTCCTTAGCTGCTGCTGCAAGATGGCGCCATGGTCTGTAGTATTCCCTGGAGAGCAAAGGTCCGGCGGCCACCGATAGAAGGTCCTCGGGCGTCAATGCTAAGCCGAAATGCTGGTCCATCAGGCGGCGGGGACGTCCGAACGCCCAATCGTCGAACAAATATGGCAGAAGAGACATTTTTCTGTTGTGTGAATTTGTGTTCGCACTCGAAAATGACACTTGCTCGTCTGGAATCAGAATGACGTCCGCGCCCCGCGAGCACCTTTTAAATACCTCACAGCGCCATCTAGTATTGAGTAGACAATTCTGGATCCGATATGAAAAACCAGTGGCGTTTAACTATTAGGTTGCATGATTTAAAAGTCGCCTCACATTTTATTGTCTTTCATCTAGTCTTCAACGTCAATCTTCGTCAATCTTTCATCAATCGTTATTTATTACTAAATGGAATAATATGGCTAGGTAAAATAAATGATGTAAAGTTTTAATAAATACTTTGTTATCCGATTAGGATGCATTACTTGTCGTAATGAGCGAAAGCCATAGTCTACCTAAGTGAGAATTACCCATTAGACACTTTGAATAAGTTTTATTATTATGATTTTCACTTTCATATGTTATCATAAAAAAGATATCTGAGCATTCCTACTCTTTAAGACACATTCTCCACAATTTTTTTGAAGACATAAATACAAAAACTGGTCATTTCACTTTGCAAATAATTCACATAAAAAATTAGCGAACCGCAAGTTGGGCACCTCTGTACTATCGCTACAAGGTCGGACCGATGTCGATGTACTTTCGCGAAGCGTCTGGAGCGCCGCCGCGCCGACATCGCCCAGCAAATTCTCGAAGCTTCGGGTAGGTCAGTTTGCAATCACGCCCATATTACGCGCTATTCCTACGGTGTTTTAATGCTGAATTACGTCATTATTGTTACTTTATTTTAAAATGACGTTACAATTACGACATGTTATAATGCTGACGCTTCATTTCATGTTAAATATGAGTATATTTTAATGTCTTATTCATGCACATAATATTCATTGAGTTTCCTGATATGTAATATAATCTAGAAAAATGTAGTAATTGTTGCTAAGATATTTATGGCAACAATGAAGATAATGCAATGTGTTTATAAACAATTATGAACGCATTGCAGAATAAGCAAACAGAACACGAAGTACATTCTTCACGTTATTGAAAAACAATCAATAAACATCTATGTAAAATGTGTTGTCTCTGTCCTTTTGAGTGAGAATGACAGAGATGTTTATACGCTTTTACTTTTTTTTTACTTTTAGCAAGGAAACACGAATCCCTGATGCTAATTCGCAACAACATAGGAACAATATAGGAAATATTTGTTCTAGGACCTTAAAGATGGATCAAAATTCTTTTGTCAATAAAAAAATTACGAGATTACTAAAATGTGATAATAGGTTTTCTAAAGCTGTAAAAAATACACAGTGCGCTACATAGGCTCAGTTCTGACAGTTTTACCTGACTGAACTATTCGAAAAGTTCGACTGTTTAGTTAAAACTGTCCGTATGTAGTGAAAAAAAATGATCAGAACTCAGTTGTATTAAAACTCTCATAACTGAGTGTATATAGGCTTTAACGTTGTAAGAAAATCCAACGTCACTCGAGTCTATTACCACAACCAACTTCTCATATCGATCGTAGAACTAACAACTATCTGCCCTAGATATGATAGTTAGCACATGTGGGAATCATGTATAACCTTGCTTAGGTATATATAAGTTATATTTGCAAAATCCATGCACAATTAAATCTAGTATTTACAAAACTTCTTGCTTGTTAATTTAAATTGACTAAATACACACCTAATTAATAAATAACATTAAATTATCTTATTACATTTTAATTAATCTAATATTATTAATGGTTTCGACATTTCATTTTTATCTCCGGTTTACATTTCCTGATCAAGAATCAATTACAGCGCTGGAATACAACTGGAAATGTATACACACTGGAATATACTGTCTAGGTTCAAATTCCAGTGTATGTTTACAATTATTTTAATCTGTTATCTGGCTGGAAATAGGTATATGAGAAGAAAAATAAAATTGACTCATCTGTTTATCATGCTGACTGCGTAACGCGTGGACTGATGTCTGGTGTAGTCTGGAACATTTTACGGAACTGGAACTTTTATGGAATATTCTGGAACGTTCTAGCACATTATAATTGGTTCGACGATTTTTACCTACTCACAACTAATAACAACCACTTTTCTTTCACTTTTGAGAACTTTTTTAACTAACTACCTGCTTTTAAAATTAACAATTGTAAATCGAGTAAATGTAGCTACACTTTATTTCTGTATTTGTAGATAGATATTAATTTCAACGATATTCGATAAAACTAACTATTTACTACTAATAGCATAAAAATAAACAAAAAACCATTATTATTCGTCATTTTAATGTGACAAATGACACAACAAAAATCCATCCATCCAAAGTATTTATAACATTAGTAAGACATAACAACTATGTAGGACATTTTTTATATTTAGTATTTATGCTGGATTTATTTGATAATTACTTTAAAGGCCTCGACCGTAATTAATAATGCAATAGGTACCTATTTGTTCATACTGTTTTATAAAAATGTCTTTATGTCTATGATTTATATTTCAAAACAAGAAAATTAAAGTTTGGTACTTCTTATGTTGGTAATTATGGCACTTATTTTATGTTTTTTTTCTCTCAAAATTAAAAAGATGTAAATTATAATGTTAATACATGCGATCAACGCCCGGTGTAATCAGCTAGGTATTTATTTAACTGTAAATAAGAAAATTCTAGAAACTTTGGATGTCTTTTAAAAGAATTATGATTCTCACATTCATTTTTTACGTTTTGTGTTACTGTGACACTAGGAAGTTTATATTGTTTCTTTAAAATCTTATTAATAATCAAATTAAGTCTAAAATGTACCTTAACATTCTCATTCTACATATTATCATCCAAAATCGCAAAGAAAATAGTTAAAACACGTCATCATATAGCAGTCAAAACAGTTATTGATTAATTTGTTTACATTCCGAATTCGCCGGCCGGCAGCGGAATTCACGAAATTTCTGTACAATTCGAGCGTTGCTAAGCAACGACATTTTAATGTTATCAATGTGTGCGTAAGGCTGCTCACGTCAGCCAATCACATTCAGTTTCTAGAATTTTCTACCCACTACTAGATGGCGCTATCCGACGAGTATATAAGCTGCCGCGACGCGCGCACTGGCATGAATTTTGAATCGTGCAATAGTACTGTGCGAAGTGCAAAGCGCTGCCAAGCGAATATACCAAGCGATTTAATTTTACGAAGTGTTTATTACTTGATTGAAGAAGTACAAGTACAATGTCTCTGCTACCATACGTATTTGGTTTCCAACGTCCAAGCCGCCTCTTGGATCAAGAGTTCGGACTAGCGTTGACTCCGGACGACCTGTTGACTGCTGCGGTCAGCCCGTTACTATCCAGGGACTATTATAGACCTTGGACGCAGCTAGCAGCCGCGGCCAGGGATGTCGGTTCTAGCATCAAAGCCGACAAGGATAAATTCCAAATCAATTTGGACGTGCAACATTTCTCGCCGGAGGAAATAACAGTGAAGACGGCAGATGGGTACATCGTGGTCGAAGGGAAGCATGAGGAAAAGAAGGACGAGCATGGTTATATCTCTCGTCAGTTCGTGCGCAGGTACGCTCTACCAGAGGGTTGTAAACCCGAGACTGTCGAGTCCAGACTTTCCTCCGATGGTGTACTGTCCGTGGTTGCTCCAAGACAGCAACAACCAGCCTTGAAGGATGAAAGAGCCGTACCCATTCAACAAACCGGACCAGTGCGCAAGGAGATCAAGGATGCCAACCACGAAGAACCCAAGAAGTAATTACAATTTTTTAACACATTCTCAAATAACTGTTTAAATTTAAGACTGATATTTATTTTCCCAAGTTTGTGAATTTTTTAAATAAACCTTTTGTTTAAATTGTAATCTGGGCTTTTATTCTTAACCTTCTTTTGTTTTCATATTTGAATTAAATAAATCCTAAAATTAAAATCATAATCTAGATAGGTATATATTTTTTATTTCAAATGTAATTATTAACACAGTCTCATGTCGCTTATTCGTATTAGGCTAGTAACTTACTTGACTAACAAGTAAGTTAGTAATTAAATTGTGTCAAAATTGCGTAGATTAGCAAATCACATAGACGAGAATATTTTAGCTCCTAAATTACAGACCTAGTGCAAACTGGCTATTTGTCCGCACTGTATATACACGTCTGGAAACAATATTGTAAAAGTTAAACTTATAAACATCGACTATCATTTTTTCAAAGGAGATTGATAATTAAAACCTTCATTTTAAACAAAAAATATATTAATTGTCAATGGTAATCAATGTCACTGATCCATAGTAAACTAGATTCCAAACACTACAGAAATATTGTTTTTAAAGTGGTTAATAATAAACAGAAATGATTAGCTTTTAGGTAGTCTAATAAAATTTTAGTAATGTTTTTAAACAGCCTCAACGGTTTGCGTCCCAAACTAAATACCTGGGTAAGATATACAAGAGGTATAAGACCTCAAATTAAAGTCGCTAAAGAGAAATTCCAAATCAGTCTAGACCTACATCAGTTCAAAAGGGAAGAAATACGTGTTAAAGCTATCCCTGATTACGTTGTTATTGAAGGTAAATTAGAAAGGAAAACAAAACGAGGTGAAGTGATCAAGCAATTTGTAAGGAAATTCAGATTACCGGACGGTTGTGATCCGAAAACTATAAAATCTGAACTATCTTCTGATGGTATTCTTACAATAACAGCACCCAGAAAAACATATGAGGTTAATATGCCATCAGAAACTTTTATCCCAATAAGTTACTCTGGTCCAAGTAATGATAATGAATCTATAATACCAGTCAAAGACACCAAAAGTGACTCACCAATAAAACAAGGACCAGTTTGTGATGATAAAAAGAAATAATATATCATTATATCATATATCAACTGAATTATCTAATTAGGATACATTTAAAACTATAGAGAAAATATTATAGTTATTTTAAATTCAGGTACTTTAAATGCGCCTGATGATTCTTCATAGCATTTATTAGAGAAAGAAATTCATAGTAATTTAAATTGCAGGAACGAATAAAATTTAAATGCAGACTATAAATGCATTTGGCGGTTTGGCTTATTTATTATTTCTATCATTTTGTATGACTACCAGTCTTAAAATTGTTGGTTTATGCCAACACAATACTTTAGTAAATATGACAAATTGAGAATGTTTGTGGACTTACCGATTGCTAGTTTATTAATAGGCATTTGCACCTTGTATCAAAATCAAAATAAATAATGACGTGTACTCTGTACTCACGATTCTAGAATGTTCTTCTCGATTCACATAGAATCCAAATACGACTCGGTACATTGCCAGATATATAAATGCAGCTGTTGCTCACCACTTCAGTTACAATTAAAACACAGTTCAGTAAACTACAGAACTAACGAAGCAAATATGTCAATTATTCCTTATTTCTTCAACTACGATTTACCAAGATGGCCGCGTCGTCTACTCGACCAGAACTTCGGACTAACACTAAGCCCTCAAGATTTATTATCAGCGAAAGTAAACCCTTTACTACCAAACTACAGTATGTGGTGGCCACAAAGTACTGAATCTAGTATAAAATTCGACAAAGACAAATGGCAGATCAACGTTGATGTACAACATTTCGCGCCTGATGAAATAACTGTCAAAATTGCAAATGGATACATTGTTATTGATGGAAAACATGAAGAAAAGAAAGATGAACACGGTTTTATATCCAGACAGTTTGTGAGGCGTTTTAAATTGCCAGATGGTATAAATCAGGAAGCTATTGAATCCAGATTATCTTCGGATGGTGTGTTAACTGTTTTAGCACCAACGACGCCATGTTTGAAAGGTGAAAGAGTAGTTCCTATTGCTCACACTGGTCCTGTAAGGAAAGAATTACAAGATCCACCCAAAAGTGACGAAGAAACTAATTAGTTTTTGTGTTTAATTTTATAGTGTGTTTGACGATGAGACTGTTATTGTTATATTATGTCATTTAATTTAAATAAACGTCTTATTTTATTAACATTTGGTTTTTATTACTCTAGATTATAAGATGAAAGTTGTGTTAATTATGTAATTGCATCTATTTTGAGGTGCCATAAATACTCACTTATTAAATTAGCTTTCAATTCAAGAAAAGTTTAATATTTGACAGAGTTATATAAAACCAATGTTTATAAGAACATCTTTTGTTTATTTTTATAATTTGAGGTTATTCATGTAGTTACTAGTATAGGAGTTAGTTGAGTTTTTCACCTTACAATTTATCGTTAGCAATATTGTACAAGCGAGAAATTATTTCAATGAAGCATAGGAAATAGTGTACCTATTTTATAACAATATTAAGTAAATACATTTATATAACTGTTCTTAGATATTTATATATAAGTAGTAGAAACGCGAATTATCGTATAAAGTCTTTAAAATAAGTTTAATTTCATTATAGTAATACAATATTTTAGGACAGCTTTTGTCCGCGTTCTGTTCGCGAGGAATTATTAAAGTAGCCTGTGTTCTTCCAGACTATCCTCCACAACTATACCAAAATTGATAGAGATACTTTCAGCCAAGCTACAAACTCTAACAAACATCCATCCATCTAAACTTTGACATTTATAACACTAGTAAGATTAAAACTTGGTTACATATACGACTATATGGTTTAGGGTGGGTTTTCACATGTTCATTGGACCATTTAAAACATCATCTCTAAATGTGAGAGACGACAATAATAGTTTTCTATATATTTCGGCAGAAAACAACGAAAATTATTCTAATATAACAATTTTAGCTAGAAATGTTCTTTTAATCGTGAACTAGACAAATTTAACAACTGCTATCTTTTGACAGGGCGATATCTTTTACCTTTTTTAAACAATGAATACCTGTTATTTTATCAAGTGAACTATTTATAAAATATCTCATGATAGTCTGTTTAGTATAACAAGTTTCACCAAGATGTTGCCGTAAAATAGTGAACTCTGTCAATTTTCAAACTTACTAGATTCTCACTTATAAACTCACAGCTAATTGTTAATTTGACCTATCAAGAGAAAGCTTATAATCTTAGGTAACATTAAGAAAAAAAACTGAAATTATCAAAATTGTATAACAATTTTGGCCCTTCTTATGTAAAAACGAGTATTTGTCATATAGAAGACTAAGTAAAAATTAGTTACTTATTATTTATTAAAATTCAAATAAAACTAGTTTTAGTGTACAATACTTTAACATATATTACAAATACAATTAACTTGTCCTAATATCTTGTTATGGAAATGTTGACCTCAAAGTGTGTAGGAAATGTTCCGGGTTTTAATTGATTGCTCTTTAGTGGTCCGGCTGGAAAGATTCTTACTTTCTTACATTAATATGTAATGTAACATCTCAAAGATTACAGATATTAAATTGTAATAACATATCATTGCGATAAACGAAGTTTTAGAAATTTAAGCGTCAATCTTATCTAACTTTGACACAAAAATATTGTTAATTGATTGATTTATTTGTAATGTACACAATAAGTTAGGACAATCACATAAAAAATTAATTATAAGACACAAAAATGATAACAAATCCAGTTATATGTAAATATACAACATTTGTAGAGAAATAAAGCATTACGGTTAGGTTACAGTAAATGTGGAACAAACAAGATAAGAGAAAAAAATAGTTAAAATTGAACCCATGTCTGTGCCTCTGAATGGAGCAGTGTTTTTTAAAATTACATATGAAGGTGCAAAACATATCTGCGTTGTGCTTTTCGCTCTGCAATTCGTTGTATTGCCGACGACGGATGAGTGAATTCAGGCCTAAGTTAGATTTATATATTTGTATAAAAATAATTTGGGTATTAGGTGTCTGGGAGGTCTGGATGGTACACTGTACGATATTTGGTTAACTTATTCGCTGCAGCTGATGTGACCCCTAACGATCTTATTGTCCAAGCTGTAGGTAAAGTTGAACTTAAGTATTTTTTGGAAAATTTCACATAAAAACATTTATTTATGTTTAAAGACATGCTCTTAACATTGAACCACTCTTCTACACTTTTTATGTCAACCTAAAGTAGACTCTGATCATTATTACTAGTAACTTTGGTACAGATTTTTAAATCCGCAAATAACATAACACAAATAACAGAATTTGCAATGTTTGATATGTGAAGTTATATCGTTAATGAATAACAATAGGATGGGACCTAGATGGGAGCCCTGGGGAACCCCCGAATGCGGTACGTATTTCTTGGAGGTGTAGCCACCAACTGCTACAAACTGAGAGCGGTTGTAAATAAGACGTAAACCATCTAAGTAGGTAACCACGAATACCGACACCTTGTAACTGTGCAATTAGATGAGAATGACTTACTTTATCGAAAGCACTACTAAGATGAGTGTATATTGCATCAACTTCGCTTCTTTTATCCAGTGCGTCGGCAAGTCGGTGGCTTAAGTAACCAGGTTAGTCTGAGTTGGTCTCCGGCTCTGAAGCCGTGTTGACAATCAGATAAAAGTGTTTCAAGGTAATTTGTTAGTATAGTACACACCATTGTTTCGAATATTTTTGAACAAGAAGCCAGAATAGATGTGGGCCTGTAGTTATCAACATCACATAGGGCACCTTTTTTATGTATAGGTACAATTTTAGCCATTTTACAGTCAGGAAAGACGCCCTTTTTCAAAGATTTATTATATAAGATACATAGTGGGACTGAAAGCGCACCACCACAATTTCCGAAAAAATATGTCGGAATTGAGTCAGGTCTAGAGATTTGGTCTCTATAGTTTTTTGATTTTTGAGGCTTCTTCTTTCATCGTGATTGTTATGTAATTAATAAATTATTTAGGTTTATTTCCTGTATTACTATGCTTGTAATTTAAATCAATTAAAGCATTTACTCTTGTCTTACCAGCGTACACATTAAAGGCTTCTTAAATGTACTATAACTTCGATATTTCAACATTATTTTTCTTATAACCATCTTCAATATCTTGTAAGCTTCGTCCATGAGTCTCAGGTAAGATAAAAACAAGTATAATACCATTTAAAACAGTGATCGTAGCGAATATGCAAAATAAGGCTAAAACACCCAATGTCGAAGCGATGCCGGGTGTTATTTTAACCGATATGAATAATAAAAAGTATGATACGGCTGAACTAGCTCCGGATCCGACGCCTCTGAATTTAGATGGATACAATTCAGATACAAACGACCAGGATAATGTAACTATTGCACTGCTAAATGTCATATAAGCTATCAATAAAACAAGGGAAACCCACCTCACGTTAGCTGGATTTAAATATAAGAACAACAATAAACAGTACAGTAAAGTACAAGCACCAAAATTGCACACAAAGAAGGCCAATTTTCTCGGAATACGTGTTCCGAAGAAGAATATAGAACTTGCAGCGACAAATCTTATACAATCCGCTACAATCATAAGAATAAATGGGTCATAGTCGTTCGGTATTATTTGCCCTAAAATATCTTGAGCGTAAAACGTTATAATATTAGCACCACTAAACTGCATCGAGACAGACAGAAAGAATGTTATTAATAATGGCTTCATAAAGTCCATTTTAAAATAATCTTTCATACTTAGCTCCACTTTCTTTTCATTTTGTGCTTCTAATATCTTATTTAATTCTTTTTCCGCCGCATCAGTATCTCCTCTGAACCATTTAAAAACGTTTACTCCTTCGTCTATTTTTCCTTTGGATATTAACCATAAAGGACTTTCTTTTAAAACTAACAGTAGAACTATTGATATAACACTAGGCGCATTGCATATCAGAGCATTTGTTCTCCAGAAAACGAACCCTCCTAGTGCATGATTTATTACAACACCTAGAGATAATGTTAATGATGGACTAAATAACATTAATCCTCTGTATTTTGGGTCAGCAATTTCTCCTAAATAAACCAGAGTTATTGGTCTTATCGCTCCAGAACAGAGTCCTGTTAAAAATCTTCCAAGTAGCATTATGGGATTGTTGCTAGCGAAGCCTTGTACGGTCCAACTAACGACAAAGGCAAAAGCCAGAATTATGTGCCCCATTTTTCTTCCGACTCTGTCGATCATTGAACCCGCAAATAAACATCCAAGGACCATTGAGAGCGGAGTCATTGCCGCTGAAATAATAAATAAAAATTGTTAAACTGTAGGACTATGGAGGTTTTAACAAAGGTCAAAGATTGTGTACTTAAATAGCTGATTCTTACCAATCCAAGAGACATAGTTCTCATCATATGGATAATTTTCATCTGCTTTTAGTTGAGGCAAGAGGACTGCACTAAATCCAAACGCAAGACCTGCGCATAGTGATAGGAATCCTGATACTGAAGTAGCCACTATCTGGAAAAAGTAATTAAGCAATATTTAATTATTATACCAGAAGTTCTCGTAGTTTCATCTAGTTATTGAGAATGTCGAGTTCAAATACACTCTGTATTTTTATTATAACCAGGAATGCTGTGCGGTTTGTCATGCTAAACGTAATTATGTGGATTATCAGGTACAATAATGTGTTCGACTTATGAATCTTGGATCCTTTCCGATTCCGATTTGACTTAATAATTTAGATACATTTACGTTCTTATGAGATATTGAATAAGTTTCTTGTAAACATGTATGAATAAAAAAGATCTAGTAATCTAGAGAGCAGAATGTTAAGGACATACTTAACCTATTTTGCTATAAATATAGATTAAAGACGACAACACTTTAATGATACCTATAAAGTGTAAGACTTAATGAACGACAGATTTTTACAGACCTTTTTATGGTCAAGAAAGTTGGACTCTTCTCAAACTTCTTTTGATAATGATGTAACTAAAATGAAAATATTACCTGCTTGATTACATAAACTCGCTTCGTGGTCAACATTTTGTGGGTTTTAAAGTGTTTTTTCACCTTTTTAAAGATTAATTTAAATGTCCACAATTATTTAATCTACAATCTACATCGTTTAATAAATTGTCTAATAAAGATTCCTTTTTTTAAAATCACTGCAAATCACACTTTTAACGTATCACAGAATATTTCATAATTTCTTAGATGTTTTTTTATTGCAATGTTGATGTAAATTAATATGAACTCGATGCAAAAACGTTCGTAAAGTGGAAACTCTTGTGAGCAACTAATACTCGACCGTCCTGTTTACAACATATATTATGTTGCTTATATTTATAAATATCCGACTTTTTATAAAATGTCTAACCAAATGTCTGTTTATTATGTCCGTTTGTAGTTTCTTATTGACATATCCTTGTCTCTCACTTTCCTCTTTGAAAAAACAGAGACAATGATATGTCAATACAAGTCTTACTAAAGTCGAAACCCAAAAATTATAGATTTATTTAAATGACATGTGCCTGCATAAACAATAATGAAATCCCCACATTTGTAGACTTCCTGTAACATGTTATGCCATTTAAAACGGGGACCGGTTGGAAATATTGTACATCGATTTTAAAATCTCTGTTCGGTAAGGTAGTGAGAAATTATTGTGATTTGATCATGTAATGGGGTGGGAATAAGCAGTGGCGGACCAAGTGTGTGTGAGTTGTCTTCCGCAGGGCCCTCAAATGGCGTACGTCCGTTATTGTTTGATTTAATTTTTTTTTTATCAAAAATTAAACATATTTTCAAATGGGAAACATTCTAGGAACAAACAAAAGAAAACAGAGGTGGAGTAAGAATTGGGGAAGATAATTTTATGTTTCTTTCATCGTTTCATCATTACATTAATACCATTTATTTAATTGTAAGGATACAGTAAAAAGTCCTTTGATACAGCATCTTACAAAATCACATTAAATAAAACTTCTAAAATGTCTAAGTAAATTAATAATCAGATTCAAATTATTATACAAATATTCTCTACTATGAAAGTACGCCTGGTAATATATCATATAATTTAGTGATTCTTTTTGTTTATTGGTAAATTATGTTCTAAAATCTTAGGGTCCACAGAAATAAAAAACTGTTCATGGAACCCGCTACTAGGTGCAAAACAAAAATACTTCTTATTGGAACTTGTCGGAAAGACACAAAAAATTATAACAAATAAAACCAATTTTTAATTAAAAATCATACTTTATTAGGAAATTAAAAAATAATCAGTCTTAAATCAAACAGAAGGAATGCCTTAAATGCGGTTACGATCGCGTACGAATACAAAATGTAGTTTACTTCTCGGGCTGATCTCCATTAGCCTGGTCTTTCACTTCTTTGCGGACTGGTCCGGTTTGTGTGATGGGCACCTTGCGCTCTCCCTGCACCGCTGGAGGCACCTTCTTGGGGGCAGTCACAGTGAGCACCCCATCAGAAGACAGCCTGGACTCAACTGCATCGGGCGTACAACCTTCAGGCAGCGCATACCGGCGTGTGAACTGCCGAGAAATGTACCCGTGCTGATCCTTCTTCTCCTCATGCTTCCCTTCGACGACAATGTATCCATCCGCAGTCTTCACGGAGATCTCCTCAGGCGAGAAGTGCTGGACATCCAGGTTAACTTGGAACTTATCCTTGTCGGCTCTAATACTGGAGCCGAAGTCTCGTGCTGCTGCCGCCATGTGTCTCCATGGACGGTAATAGTTTTCCCTGTTCAACAAGGGTCCGGCGGCGGCGCTTAGCAAATCTTCAGGAGTGAGTACCAAGCCGAAGTGCTGATCCAGTAGACGACGCGGCTGTTCGATCTCCAACATAAACGGTAGCAGCGACATTTTTGCGTTGTTTTCAAAACACTGAAATAATCGCAGAGATAGCTTGATAATCAATGTAACTCTCCCGAGAGCTGAATAAAAACTGACGAGCGGCGCGGAGTGCAAGCGTATTTATTCGATGTGCGAATTCCCGAAGCTTGTGGAAGCTTCTAGGTCTCAGTGGAGATTATATAACGGCCCGCTACGCAATTTCAGCATTTTTTTTTTGATGATTGATTTGTGTTTGATGATTTGCAAAAAACATGTTTTTTTTTAAATCACGTTTTACATCAAATGTTATGTAAAAAGTAAGTGTAATAAGTAAAAGTAATGGTAATATTAAATTTTAGATAAACCAATTAAAAAAAGAAGAATTTACATGCATGAAATATTTTAAAGACTGCGATGTTGTATAAAATCTTATCGGGTTACAAAACTAAAGTTTTAATTTAATGAAAAGCACTAGTATAACAATTATAAATAACTATTTTATTTTTAAAATTAAATATTTTTAATTGTCCTAAAAATACGACATATGTAATATACAAAAATATGTCATTTTTAATATTGTTATATAGACTAACTATCAAGCTTATTTTATATTTTAAATAAATAAAAAATGTGTAACAAAATATCAATATGTAAATATTAACAAATACGTATATAATTAAACAAACTAAACTTAAGTTTTTTTTACATCACATGATCGTCATAAATATCATAAACTATTGATAGCCGGAAAACCACAAGTAAAATGCGACCCTAACATTTGTAACATCTGAACTCTAGACAGTTCTTCATGCTTCAAGATTATACTCAAAATTCTAGTTATTTCTCAAACGTTTCTGCCATCTAGTGGTGAGTAGTGTGGACGTTTAAAAGTCTAACCGTTTTTCCATACTACTGCTAGATGTCATTAGCTGTTTGTTTCCCTCCATCTGTATGTGATTTATAACAGATTGAGGTTTATTCTGTAATTTCAGATATTAATCAAAATAAAAGAATAAAAAGGATTGAAACATTTCAAATAAATTAATAACTTTGCTAAAACATTTTTTTATATGGCAACTGTCTTTCTTCAATGGCAACATGATAAGTTAATTTTTTTCGCAAAACTTTGGCCGGGTCGGGAAGGGACGTGGATTTCATTGGTCGCCGTACATAGTAAAGTAAACGAGTTATCGTTAAGCACTTTGAGCCGGTATGTTGTGTTAATTCATTTATGTACAACATTTTACAAAAATAAGCATTTGTGCTGTGATTTATTTTATAAAAAACTTTGTACATACTAGTGTTTAAGTTAAACGTGTATAAAGTTTAAATTATTTAACAACTCTATATTGGATGTGTTAGTTTTTGTGTTAAAACTTAACTAAGTGACAATGGCAGACAATTCAAAATTGACTGATGAGGAGTTAGTTGAAATCCGGGAACAATTTGCTCAGGTAATTTTAATTTTTAAGTTTTAAAATTTGTAAATTGTTGAAGTACCGGTTGGAAAGCAAAATACAAATTCGTAATTCGTTCACGCATTTGCCACTGGTTTTGCATTTGAGATTAATTTAATTTGTTTAGTAGAAACTGCGTATAAACAGCAAGAAGTAGTTGTAATCATAAGAACGCGTACCTATTTAAGATGTCTTACGTCGGAGCCGCGTGTGGTCCTTTACAAAAGCTACTTCTATATTTTCATTTGTTAATATCGCGTCTTTGTTTATGTTATAACTTGAAGTAAAATAAGTAAAGAAACGTTTTAAAGTTAACTTTTATAATTATTTTTAATAATAATATTATAAAGAGGAAATCTTATATAAAATTTTGGGTAATTTGGGATACATAAATACAGTATGAATTTAAATTTTATTAAGGAATTAATTAATTACACTTTGTAATATGTGAATTAAAAACATTTTCATATAAAAAGTTTATCAATACCCTTGATATAAATGATAAACAAAAATGGTTTATCTCCAATGCAGGTAATCTCTGATAAAATAACATATTTGTATAACAAACCTATATTCCTAGTGTTTTATTGTTACTTTGTTGGTCACGAAAGTCATATTAGTACTAAATTTTGGTCCCAAAAATCTTATTCTAGTAATTTTTCTGTACTCTATTATTCCATGTTAAGAAAAGTTGGGAAGAGGATTTGATAGGGGGTAAATGAAGGACCCTTTTCTCTGTTATCACTGGCTACATTGTTTATTTTCAAAATCTATTTTTTTTACTGTTATTAGTAACATATAAAAATACATTTTGAAAGTGCCCATAACTGTCTGTGTAGAATAAAAAAATACTTAAAAGTATCCTATGTGATTTTCCAGACTATGTTCTTTATTGCCAAATTTGAGTAAGATCCGTTCACACTATCTTAAGATTTGTGGTAACAAACATCCATCCAACTCTTGCATTTATAATATTACTAGCTGTTGCTATTGACTTCACCTGAGTGAAATAAAACAAATAGTAAAAATATTGCTTATGTTCGCAGTAATAACATAGCTTATTAATGGTGTAAGAATTTTTGAAATTGGTGCAGAAGTTTTTGAGTTATTACCATACATACGAAAATTCAAATCTTTCCTCTTTGTAATATAAGTATAGATTATTACTTTGTTACTATTAATATTCATGTCAATACACTGTTATAATAATATTTCATACTGTAATTGAATGCTAATAAGAAAGCTCATTATTTTCCCTTTGCTTCTATCAAATGGTCCTATAGGATTTGTACATGGGAAAATATTTTAAAAGTAAAATTTTACTTTATATATTATCTTTCCATCCAAAATAGAAGAATGATTTTTTTGTATTATATGAACAGCAAAATTTTGTTTCTATTGTATTAGCCAGTGTTTTTTTTTTTTACATTTTATTTGAATGTTAGCCATTAGTAACTCCATACAATAGTTTAGTAGTTTACTTGTTTGTCTAATTTTCTCAGCAACTACCACGAAACGAAGTGAAACTAAACACTTAGTCATACCTTTCAAGTTAGCAGATATTCATATGGTGTGTCACTTGATTGCTCAACGGGTAATATTGTTTAACGCAATGTTTTAGTATTCAAAACTTGTCTTTGATACCTTGACATATAGGTAATTGTGGCTTTTTAGTGTCGTCACCCTTATGTAATACATATCTTTTTGAATGTAGAAATCACATGATGTAGTTTAATAGTTTGGTTAAGTAGTTTTTGAGTTTATTTTGGCCAAAAAATTATAGAAACTTTTCAAAAAGTACAGATGAATAGTGCTGAACCAAGATACTTTTTCATTAATTCTCTTTTAAGCTTTTTATTCTTAATCTTAACTGAAGAACACTTCTAGTGGACTGAGTGTGGTAACAAATAAAAGTTTTGGTAGGAATAGGAGAGCAAAAAAGAATAGGTAACTATAGAAAACGAAGCTATAAAATAATATAATCTGCTAACAAGTCGAATGATGATTCATCATCATCAGCAGCCTTTATCTGCCCACTGTTGGGTATATGCCTTCCCCAATACCTACCTACCAAGTAATGATTATAATTTTATAATTAACTAGGTGTTGCTTGCGACGTCGCCCGCGTGAGATTAAAAAATATAGCCTATGTTACTCAATGATAACATAGCTTTTTAATGATGGAAGAATTTTTGAATTCGGTCCAGTAGTTTTTGAGTTATTTCAATACATACAAAAATACAAATCTTTTCCCTTAATTATATTAGTATAGATTTGTTAAAGCAAATACAATTTAATTAAAATAAACTACGTAATAATATAAATTGACATTCAACTTTGCGGAAAAGTCACGACTTACCTTTTAAGTGTGGACAGTTACGTTGGTTTTCTTACGACATCGACATTTAAGGCCAGACTCTATTTACTACATTCCAATGAACATGTCAATGTACCGGTAAAGATTTATTAATATAAATGTAGAGAAATAAGGTCATTATGAAGTTGTTTACGTATTTAGTACTTGATAACCAGACGAAGAAAACAATCTTTAGACATAACAAAGGAAATATTTGTATTTTTGTATGTAACGAACTCAAAAACTACTGATTTTAAAAATTCTTTTCACATTTTTAGTCCGCGCGGACGAATTCGCGAAAAGCAAAGATTAAACTCAAAAACTACGAGACCGATTTAATGAATTCTCACAATTATTGATGCACTCATTTAGATTTCTTATCTTAAATCTACACTAATGTACACAACTCTGAGTGCGTTAGTTATCTGCATTATCCCTTCTCTTTTACGATATATTTCCCGCACAGTAAATTTATATGATTGTTAACTTAAAATGCACTCAAAATGACGTTTATCAAAAGTATTTATGCCTTAAATGTCGAAATCTGATCTTAACTTGCCTTTTACGTGCCCATTAAAGGCTGACTCATTGCGGAAGACAAAGTTGACCTTAAGGGTCGAAACGAGGACAATGCTTGGTTTACGGAAAAAAATAATAACATCATTCATATGAATATAAAGTAAAAATAATAAATTGAATTAAAAAAATAATTAAAAATGATATAAGTGAATTTTAATTAAAAGTTTTTTTATCCATTTGTATTTTTAGCCTATTTTGAAAGGTGTTTCCTATTACACCTAACGAATCCATACAATAAATCAGAAACTAATAAGAAAACAATTCCCATTGAGCTGTTCGACCCAACGGGAAACATCAATTGTAATCCAAGTCTTGTGACACAGTCTGACTGTATTATATATGGATCATCATCATGATCAACTTTTATCTACCCACTGCTGGACATAGGCTTTCCCCAATACCTTTCACAGATTGCGGTCCTCCTTCCACATCCAACGACTTTCTGCCGTGTGTACTAAGTCGACGGTTCACCTGGGTGTAAGACGCCCTACGAACCTGGTCCTCTTTCGCAAGTTAATATTAGCTAGATCTCAGACATAGAATAAGTAATTCAATATTATTTGCTCGTTTGCAAAGTTTTTCTCCAATATGAAATGAAGACATTGCATGCACTGTGGTCAGGGTAAAGAGTTCCCATACGTATTATGTTCGGTCACGCTCTTGGTTGTGAATTGCAGAAAACGTTACGACCACGGTCAGTGGTGATACCATGGAAAGAAGGGTGACCATAAACAATTTATCTAAAGTGGATACCTACACTTAATTTAAAAAAGTATGATACGTTCTGCCACCTTATGTTTAAGATATCTACAGATGCATAGTTTAACTGGATAGTTAAAGCAGTGTAGACAAAATTTTTACTTTCAGTTAATGTGTGCAGTTAAAGTTTTTAGACTCACGTACAATTTTGAACTGTTCAGTTACAGTATCAGAACTAAGCGTGTGTATCGTGCTTTTATCTTTAGTTTGAACAATAACTAGACATATATTTTTTGTCTTATAAAGATTAAGAATTCCGGGTTACCAACACCTAAAAATGTTCGTCGTAGATATCTAATATTGTCATTCACTTCGCAGCAAATTTTCTCGTTCATTCATTCAACACAAACCAATGAAGCACATCATTAACCAGCATTAATCGCATTTTAAAATAAGTATAGTAACAGAAAGCGGTAATGTAAACACAATAATAACGTGCTCGCCGCACCAACGCGAAGTTTGTTTACTCTACGTTAGCCGCATTGCATCACGTTTTAAATATCTACTTAAAGATTAAAACTCTAATACCACTGTAACACCTGAACATATGTAAATGGTTGAATTAGAAATACTCCGTTTAAACTACTTACCAACACAATGGCTCTATTTACGTCAAAAATTTGGTACCGCTTTTTCTTTACATGTAAGTTTTGTTTAAGAGTTCAGAAAAGAGTATTCTTTCACCCAACTAAAAATGGGGTAGGTAGGTTATATTATTTATCTTTTTTTTTAATTCATTTGCCCAATTTTCCAGAGACGATTCGAATCAATTTCTTCTCTTGAGATTCTTAGTTACTAAATTTATGCACACTTTAATATAGGTTTCAGTTCTAAATGATTACTATTGTACTAATGTAAATCGATTTCAATTGCTATAATCGATTATTATAACCTTTATTCGAGACGTCGCGATGCATCGACCTTGGTCCCAGGAATGTGGTCGCGGTGCGTTCTTTGTCCAACTTTGTGACGTAATGTACATATTTATACAAAGGGTTACTGACTTATGTATAAGAAGTATATATTTCTGTATGTGTCAACTATATATCTATTGTAACATTCTGCTTTGACAACCAAAGTAACATTTGGCTGTTTTTTTTAGTTAAAATAAAATTATAATTTTTTCGTAATATGTGTTCTGGAAATAAAAATAAGGAACCAACATTAATGTTATTCAAAATATTTTTAACATGATTTGATTCTCTGGAAGCAGCTCCCTCCCTTAAGAATCCGACGCCCATGTTACCACCCCCTATTTCCAATTCTGCGAAAGGAAACAGATACATATCTAAATGTATTACAA